GGCGTCGCAACCGTGGGCTTACTCCGGGTCTGGAGTTTCCCCGGGTTCTTCATGGCTCGTGTAGAGGAAGGGTTTCGCTGGATGGATAGTGCAAGCCAAAGAGTAGTATGAGGCTTTGATACGACAACAGATGTGGTGCCTGGCATGCGTGACCAGGCCGACTGCGAAAACAGTTCCTTGCATAAATTGCGTGCTTAGGTACTATGTATGGGCATATCAAGCTCTAATCTACTTATCATATGCTGTTATGGGTGTGTTGAGCAGGATCGCGAGCTGAAGCAGAAGCAGAATCCGCGATTCCGAAGGCAAAAGCTCCTCCCGAGCCGCTTTTGCAAAAGCGGCGATTCTGCCTTGAATCGCTCGAAGCGCCCGCTTCCCGACTAAATCCGAAAGCGCTTCAGGACTCAAAGCGAGACTGGAATCGTCGTCAGAATCGGCCAGAATCGCCACTCTGACCTCCCCTAATACGACGTCACGCCGGAGTTTCTGCACGTACAATATACGTATAATAAAACCATTCGTCGGTTGTCAAAATAGAATAGGAAACCACAACAGAGCGTAGGGAGCGGGGCGGAGGTTTCGTTCTAAGTGCTGGCGTAAGATGGCAGCAGGGCCCTGACTATCGGTACCATGCGCTCGCCAATGCGAATCCTCCTCGTTGAGAGCCAGTTCAATGTCATCCACCATGGACTGAGACGTCTCGCCTTCACCCCGGCGGGGTTCGATTGGCCTAGGACAGCACGATTTCCAACTGGGTGAGCTCCACGAATTGCCCTGTCGTGGTATCGAGAAGACGCATAACACTATCGATCACAGACTAAGTCAGCCTCTACAAGACACACAAGGCGAGAAATCCGTGCTTACCGACGGCGGAGGCAACGTTAGTTGACCGGGGGGGGCTTGCCCGAAGCATTGCTGTAGCGGCGGCTTTATAGACACTTCAAGACAGGAGCCGCCAACTCGAACGTTTCGTCGAGATCGATAAACGTCCAACTTGTCGTATCGCCTGATGACCGTTACTGCATGCATAGCCGGGTGTAGCTGTATATGGTCTATGCGCTCTTTCGGATTGCCTTGTCAACATTCAGGCTATTCTAATGTCGAGCTTCCCCTCTTCTCGGCCGACCGAACGTACCAACTCGGGGCTTCACTGACGCCATGTTAGAGTTTGGTACGGAAAGCAGTACCTTAGAAACACGCGTACGGTCAATGAACCAGAGTGGGGATATGGTAGGATCATTATGAACGCGTAACGCCGAGTACAGGACAGCGTAGACGGTAGAACGAACTTACGAAGTGACTTCCCATTTCTCTTTCAAGCGCCCACACACTCCCATCCACCCGCCTGCATATGCGTCTGGTGACCTGCTGGTCTCTCATTTATCATGAGCTTGGCCCTGGACCTCGTCATACTCCTTACCAGTCTCAGTCATGTCTCGGTCTCGCCGTACACCAAGGTCGAGGAAAGCTTCAACCTACACGCGACTCACGATATTCTCATGTATGGGGTTGGTCCCTCCAATCTTCGTAAAGTGCGCACTGCGTTCTCCGTCCTGCGACCTCAGTTGAACCAAGAGAGAACGAAACTCTCTGTTACCCCTGGCCTTCACTTGTTAGTATGATCACTTCGTCTTCCCCGGTGCGGTACCCCGCACCTTCGTAGGGAGTGTCGCGTTGGCATGGCTGTCCGATATTGTGTTGCGGATAGGAGTATGGTTCGGACTCTTCGTGGGCAAGTTTGACATACAGGTCATCGGTGAGCACTACCCTTATCGAGGTACACACCACACGTACTCATGTCTACTCAGTGCGGATGGTTCTGGCCAGTGCCAATGCAGTAGGACTTATTGCGCTTCGCCGTGCTGTGAGCAGGCGGTTTGGGCGGTCAACAGGCTTCATGTTCGTGCTCCTTTCGATAACGCAATTCCACCTGCCGTTCTGGATGGGTCGCACTCTTCCGAATATGTTCGCCCTCCTACCTGGTATGTTCGCGCCTTTTTGTCGCGTCGAGGATGTTCCTACCTCAACAGGCTGCATCCTTGGCGAATAGCGAACCTTGCTTTATACAAGCTGATAGATCGGGCCCCCAATTCCACCCGGCCATCCAAAACCAACGTACAATGGGCAATTGCGCTGCTCACATTCACGACCGTGGTGTTCCGCTCCGAGCTGCTTCTGCTGCTCGGTCCCCTTGCTCTTCAAGCCAGCCTTCGATATGTCTCCGTGTACGATGTGGTGAAGGCTGGCTTTTTATCCGGCTTGGCGTCCGCTGGTGAGTCTATGCAACTTCTCTGGGACTCATCAAAGGGGCTGATAGCAATCAAGCCCTCACCGTATCGGTCGACTCGTACTTCTGGCAGCAGTGGCCTCTCTGGCCAGAGCTGTACGGGATCTACTTTAACGTCATACAGGGCAAGAGCGCGGAATGGGGTGTAAGTCAAAGTGGCGACATCTCTGCACTACATCGAGTGATAGGATACTGTTACTTCCAGGTCGAACCGTTCCATAGGTACTTCAGCTCGTACCTCCCGAAGCTCCTGCTCTCGTCCCTGCCTCTCTCCGGGCTCGGTTTCGTACTTGAAGCGAGGGTCAGATCCCTGTTGCTGCCATATCTCATGTTCATCGGCATCATCAGCGGGCTGGCCCACAAGGAATGGCGCTTCGTCATATACGTCGTGCCGGCATTCAACATCGCGGCGGCTCGCGGCGCGGCGTGGCTGTACGTCCTCAAACCCTCCTCCGCTCACGTTCATGTTCTCACCAGTTGCTACAGGGTTGGTCGGCGTAAGGGCTCAATTTTTGGACAGCTGTGCTTCCTTGCTGTCATAGGAATGCTCGTGCTGAATGCCGTCGTGACGTTCCTGTCTACGCAAGCAGCTGCTGCAAACTACCCTGGAGGTGCCGCTTTGCAGACTTTCAACGATCATTTCGCGTCAGAGAAATCCGGTACGCCTCTTGTCTATTGTTCGTATCACCACCCTAACGTCAGCATCCGGATAGTGCACGTCCATATATCCAATTTGGCCGCACAGACAGGCGCTTCCTTGTTCTTGCATCGCAATGCGCCTCCCTTCTACCATGGACTGCCGGCGCCGCCGCACACGAAATGGGTGTATGACAAGACCGAGAACCTGTCCCTTGCAGACCTGACAAACTCTCAAAATGTCACGCATCTCATTGCAGAAGCGTCCGCCCTCGAGGGAAACAAGCATGCCCACGGGTGGACGCCCGTCGCGCTCATCGCTGGTTTCGACGGATGGAGATTCCATGGGAGGTACGGGCTTCGTGCGGTGCTTGCTGAAGGGCTGACGGGGCTTGGGAACATGTTGGAGATGAGGAGGAGCGGAAAGCTCGTCATCCTGGCTCGGAATGGGAAGACATGATATGTCGTACGATGTGTCTACTGATGTTACATTCGAGGTGAATTGTCTCCTGGGTCGGAATGCATCGAAGCATGCGCGGATTCAACGTAAACAGTCGGCTGCGTCTGCCCGCATTGGTCGCGAGTCATGACCGGCTTCACGCCAGAGTAGCACAGCGATATTCCGAAGACAACGTGGGCACCGGGATCTCGGTCACCTCCGTGGTGGTCGCTTCGGAAGCATGCCTTTTCGCCTTCTTGATATCCGCGTCCGCCTCGTCTTCGAGGACGTACTCCTCGGAGACTTCGCTAGGCACGGTGCTCGCCCGGAGCTTCCGTTCTCTGCGCTGGTCGCGCTTGGATAGGTATAAGGTGGCCATAGCGAAGCACACTAACGAACCATTGGTAAGCGAGAACGCCCCGGACTATAGAGGGCCAACCACATACTCATGCAGAAGTTGATGCACGCGGTGGCGACGTTACCCTTGAACACGCTGAATTGACTCAATTGAGCTAGGATTTTCGTTGAGCAACTTTCGTATGTACTTACCGGGGTTGTTCGACCTGAGGGAAGATGACACTTGGATGGACGAGGGGGACGAGTTAGAAGGGCGGAACCACCGAAGACAACGTATTGTCGATAAACGCACATGGGCAACCATGCTTGCATCACATAAGCCCACATGTTGCAGTTGGCCACGATGAATGCGCGCTCTGTGGAATGTGTGTCAGTAGCTCCGTTCCAACAGAACAGTAAACATCAACGATTTCGGACGTACTCTCGTTGTCATGACCATTCAGCTCGTTTGCCCATGCCAGTATGAGACCCGATAGACCGCCTTGCACGCTAGTCTGCAAACAGCTGTGAGGTTCGTAATGCCGAGAGTTTCTATGAGACACGTACAAAGTAGTAGAAAATCCATCGTCTGTGAGGCTGATTCAGTCACAGAACAAATGGGAGATATCTAGTAGATGCACCGCGTGATGTGTTCGTAGAGCGGCGTCGCTGCAAGAACGATGCAGGTCACCATACTCCAAGTCTGTTCAGACATGCCTGAGATCAGCATTAATCCCAAAGGCGGCAACCGAAGTGCTCACTCCAGCGAGCAACATGGGAGGCCACCTTGCTCGAATGATGTCCGACCACCACGCGTAGATCAGCGCTACGAGTATTGTAGAATAGTTTGGTCAGCGCAACAGCGTAGCGATTTTCACTTATGAGCCCTCACTTGTCACCACCTGGACGGCCTGAATACCAAGCGGATAGGTATTGATTTGACCAACAGTGTATACGATACGTCCAGGAGTGTTGAAGCTCTTCAACCTGGATTCACCTCAGTCAATATTGCAAACCCCAGAACATATCGAATGACGTACCAGAAAATCATTGAGTTCGCCGGGCCACCGCCGTTGTTGAACTTCGCTTTGGGTTAATCGCAACTCAAGGAGTTCGAAGTAGTGTACAAACCAGAATATAGACTAGGCCATATCCTTGAGTTCAATCGGCGTATGGTAGGACAAATGCGAAGACTCACGGGGAACGAGTGTGTAGATGTGCCATGTCGTGAAGAAACCACGGACCTGCCCATGATGTGTCAGGTAGTGACATGAAGAGAATGGACGAAGAAAGCTCACTTTCTTCCAAGTGAACGCGGCAGGAGGTTTCCTACCTATCTCGGCCATTCTCCTCTTGCCGATCTCAATTTGTTCCGCAGTATAGAAGACAGAAGGCTTAGTGGTGGTTGGCAGATCTGACGTTGGATGAGTGCAAAATTTTCGCAGCACCTACCGACTTCTTTTCTCACCTGGCATGATGAAAAAGCCGAGCAAGCCGATTGGGACCGTGATGAACCCGTCGATGATGAAGAGCCCTGTCCATGGTAGAGAATGTGAAGGAAATACTTTATAGATGACACTCTATCGTGACTTACACTTCCACCCGGCCAGACCGTGCACTCCGTTCAGGCCATTATATGCGGCCTACAAGATGACTCACGGTCAAGCATCAAGCTAACGATACGCCGCCGTACATACCGTCTGAAGGAAACCGCTAAACATAGGGCCAAGCGCGCTAGCAGTCTAATGAAGAAAAAATGGACCAGGAGTTAGAAGAGCCAATACCATCGCTCGAAGAGCAACCGAATATACTCACATGAAATATGCATGCACGCTTCCCGAGCTCGTCACCTTTGTACCAACTGCCGATCACGTATTGGATTGCAGGATAGAACGTTGATTCCGCTAGGCCTGTTGTTCTTTCAGTACGTTTCTCCGTCACGTCACGACCATGAGAAGACGCACCGACGAGGAAGCGAACCGCGAGGAGGGTCTCAAAATTCTTCGCACTAGCGAGAGTCATGGTGAGGACGCTCCATATGACCTCCATAGCGGGGATCTTGTGCGAGATTCAATTGCTGAGATAGAGAGAAATAGTAGGAGCCTCCTACCCATATTGATGGGCGTATCCTAGTGATGAGCATGCTATAGGAGAGCGTTTTGTTAGACAAACACGGTATGTTATGCGAAGAACTCGCTTTGAGGGGATCTGGCCGATGACGTATCCACACGTCCATGCAGTTGTGATGTAGTTCAGCTGGTTGCCATGCCTGCATTGTACTATACTCAGCCCAAAGTTTCGTGCGAGTAGTCAATCAAGCCTTACAGTCCTAGACTAAGATCGCAATTGACGTCAGAAGGAACTGAGCAGAAAGAAGTATACGCACTCCTCTTGCATCCCCGAAACGTATGCATTCTGCAACGGAATGAGTGACAGAGGAAACATAGGGAAGACTAGGCATACCGTGATATTCTGTTGGTCAAGGTACGTGCAGAGAGGTCTATCAGCCGGACTACCTCAAACAGCAGGACTAGACAGGTACTCATTTGCTGAAGTACGACAAGGCCGCGTACGTGAGAAGACACGCATCCAGCTTGAAGAGGAAGCGCCGCTCGTCTGCAGGCTTATCCCAAGTGTCCCTACACTACGCATCAGCTCCAACACTAGCCCCAACCGGGAACCTGCGACGTACCATACATAGCTGGTCCAGGTGCGTTTCTCGACCTTCTGAGCACTCATCTTGCGAACACCTACAGGCAGAGCTGGCGGTCCTAAGAAGGACGGCCTGAAAGGACAGCGACTTTTCCGCCGCCGGGATAAATACCGCCTGCGACAACGCGCTTGAACGCGCGCTCCTTGACAAGGCCCCAAGTCCCACCTCCAAGCACGCCCAGAAGGCGGAAAAATGATAGTAAATCCGCCATGATAGAGGAGTTACGGCAAGGTGTTCGGACCGAAATGGCAACCTATGGTCACGACCTAGAGAGGTGATGGAGCACGCAATTTAGAAGCACTACCTCGAGCTCCTGTCGAGTTTTGAGCCTATACGCTCAGTCATCTGAGTCAGAGTGCACCATATCGTGAGCGGCCACGCGTGTAGTACGCATCTGTTGAATCGTATGGTCTTGGATAGGTGTCTGTCCCTGCAGCCGCATTGATGATGATGGTAATCAAGTTAGGGGAACGAGCGCCCATGGTATGCAGGCGCCAATTTACAAACTCGGAGTCGGAGCCGCCACCACCCATGCGAACCTCACACGGACGCGCACAATCACTGGACCAAGGCTATTTGGCGATCCCGCAGCCGACCTAGCTTCATTATACATCGTCTGTTATACCGGTTGGTACTGAAAGCATATTCGTTTCTTCGTGCTTGACATCTCAATCTGACTCTCGAGCGAAGGGGCACACCCGCGGCAGAACCATCCAAAGATGACGCACCTCGCTCACATACTCCTATCACTTATCTCTCTCTGAGGTCACAGGGCTCGATATAGTTCTTCCACCATACACCTCGAGGATGAGGTGACATGTTCCCATCCTGGCGTGCGACCGGCTCTCTGTGTCAGACTACCGCCGTTGCAGCTGGAAGGTTGAAAAGAGGTCATCAACACATTTGCTCTCCCCAGGACCTGCATACCCGCTGGTGCCACATATTTGTCGAGTCTATTGCGCTGCATCTCCGTCATGCCTGTCCCAGTACCCGAGCTCGGATCTTTCAACTACGTCGCTGAGACGAAGGTGAATACCGCTCTTCCTCCGTCGCCACTCCTCGTTTCCGGCTCGCGCGCATCAATCCACTGTCTCAACATCACGACAAACTACTGATCGCCTCTTCGCTTCTCCCTCGCTTGGTAGGAAAACCTCGACTGGGCAGACCTGGTCACGATCGACTTCAGCTTTTATGGCACGCCAGAGGGCAACAAAAAACTCGCGGCCGAGCTGATTAGGGCCGTGCGCGAGGATGGATTCTTCTACGTGAAGAACTTCAACATTCCGCAGGAGCGCGTCAACCGCCAGTTTTCGCTCGGCAAGCAGTTCTATGAACTGCCTCTGGAGGAGAAGTTGAAATACGTCCCGGAGGGCCTGGGTTAGTTTGGTAGGTCGTTCCACACCTCACGAAGGCTGAATCTCGTCCTCCATCATAGACAACGGAGCGTTCAATGGGTACGTCCCCGCTGGACGTCGCGTTCTGGATCCTGTCTCTGGATTGAGGGATCGCACCGAGGTTTACAACATTCCGAGTATGAATATAACTCTCCTGTCGTTCTGATCCATCGCTGAGCTGAATATTTGCAGAGTTCGATGGCTACTTCACCCACAACCATCCCGCTATCGTTCAGGAGCACCTCGGAGAGATCGAGGAGTTCGCTCGCGTAAGGCAAACAGCGCACCTGAGTCCAAATGTGTTCATTGACCATGAGCCAGTCTCTGCACAGCGAGGTGCTCGACCCACTCCACGTTCTCCTTGCCATTGCACTAGAACTCCCCGAGGATTATTTCACCAACATCCACCGGTACGAGCGCAAGAGCGAGGTACGCTCTACCTATCTCATTTATAATGCTTGCCTGGCTCACCCGATGTCATGTCCTGCAGGACCACTTCAGGTTCATGAAATACTCCAAGTACACCCCGGAGGAGAACCAAAAGATAGGCCGTCTTTGGGGCGGTGGCCACACTGACCTCGGCTCCTGGACATTGCTCTTCCGCCAGCCCGTCGCGGCTCTTCAGATCAAGAACCACAAGACAGGCGAGTGGAAGTGGGTGAAGCCGCAGGATGGCACTCTCACCGTCAATGCATGCGACGCCCTGTCGTTCCTGACTGGCGGCTATGTCAAGAGCACGATCCACCGGTATGTTGTGTCTACTTCATGAGACCCCATCTTACAGGAAATTTGACACTATCTTGAATGCCAGAGTTGCCGCGCCTCCGAAGGACCAGGAGCACGTCGACCGCCTCGGCATCCTCTACTTCTCCCGGTACGTGTCGGCTTTCTAAATGCGGGTGGCGGTCCGATGACCCGCATGCTGACCGTACGTTGTGCCTGTAGGCCGAACAACGACGTCCGGCTTAACACTGTCGCCGAGTCTCCCGTACTCCAGCGTGAGGGCTACACTCAGAACGACTTCGAGAAGTCCGGAAACTACGTCCCCACCATGGAAGGTGAGCGTCTATCCTCGTCTTCGTTTCCGACCGAATCCCTTCGATTGTCCCCGCTGTCAAATTTAATGGCATGCTGTGCGTGGTGCGCTGTCGGAAGTCGCATCGCTTCAAATGATTTTGCTCTCTGTCTGGATGATCTAGAACGCTAACGCGTGTTTTCGAAACCATGACAGAGTGGACGTTCGCGAAGCAGAAGTGGCAGCGCACCAAGAATGTCGTTCGTGGCGATACGAGTCATCAGACTGCACAGATCCTCCCCGGGTACCGCGAAAAAGTCTACGCTTGACGCATGGGCTCGGAGTCAGATATCGAACGTATCGGGCGGCGCATTGGCAGGGTGGAAAGAAGGATGTATATCTTTGTACAACAGCGTCATCAATGCTAGCGAAGTGGCAGTGACGGATCTTGCGGGTGCGGGTGCCGTTCCCGATATGCAGTCGGCATCAACACATTGTCATCCCATTGTCGAAATCGCAAGTGAATCTACATAGTGGCACATCCTCTGCAGGACAGTCCTGTTCATGCGGAAGAAAAAGATGCGTCGGCACTTCGGGTTGTAAAGTTATCCACGATGTCATTATCAAGATGCGAGTCGTCGGAAATACACGTATATATTGGTACAGAGGCCTTCTATGAGCCGAAATTGCGTGTGATAACTTAGTATGCGTGCGAGAGAGGCGAGAATGAAGGGGACAGAGCGGAGGGATGGTGGAACGAAGACGAACGGAAAGCAGCGGAAGAAGCAAAGCAGCAAGAAGAGCGCGACGGCATCCAGTACCTCTGTCACGCGGGGGAGGAAGGCGGGTACGGGAAAGCGAAGGCGGTGGTGAACGTCCGAGAGAGGTAATGAAGAGGATAACGATGCTCATCCGTAGACGATACTAGAAGCAATCAATTGTTATTAGTGTCGGGGGTTCGAGATGTATCAGTAGTTACTCACCCCCTGGCGGTAGTAGATATGGGCTTGAAGTCTGTGCGACCAGAGTCGACGAAGTGCTGGAGAACCTCCGACCAGTCGTCGCGCATATCCCATGAGATACGGGAAGGAGAGTCGACCTCGACGGGCATGACTTGGCTGATTTCCCCGCACTGGACGAGGATCACAGCACAGCCGATGCCACCGCTCTTGCGGCAGCGATCCTCTCGCCTGTGGATGTCCTCGCCGACAAGCGGATCGTTATCGGTGACGTATGTGCGGGGGACAACATGAGTGGACTTGACAGAAAATCTGGTGTGACATCAATTACTGCCCGACGCTCGAGAGCTAGGATAGATGACACTTACCTGCGGAGGGAGTCCGTCGCTGATGGACGATAGCTCAGCTCGACGAGCAGGGCGTGTTGGCGGATGTTGGAGGGCACACGCTTCAGTTGAAGGGCCTGGAATCCGGCCCAGCTCAAGAGCAGGTTATGTGTCGAGACGAACTTGCGGAGGCTCTTGACAAGATTTTCGTCAACAGCTCCGAAGCTGGGCTGCTTCGCAGACGAGATCTGCGACGCAGTATGTTGGCAGATCGCCTTGTGCGATGGCCAGTGTGCCTTCTGGCAGTCTTGAGACTGAATAGAGGGAGTCAGACAGGACGTCCCAACATGGGATAGTGTGGGGGACTCACGCAATATTGAGTAGCCATCTGGAAGAAGGAATAAGCGACGGTCAGTTTAGGCAGCCGTATCGAAGAGGGATTAGACATACGCAGCCACCACAAAGCCTGAACCTGTTGTGTGGCTGCTCTACTGCCCCGCATTTGTCGCAGACGCGATAGCCGCGTTGCTTAGGAGTAGGGTGAGAGGGCGCGGTGAAGTAGTTGGCGGCAGCGGGCTGAGCGTAGACGGCGGCCATCTCGATGGTTTGTAGATGGATCTGGAGGAGTGAAACAGATCGACTGTGAGTCGTGCTGACTCGGCCATTGCGAGTGTGGTTTTATAGTCGGATGCATTGCGGGCAATCGAGCGTCGTGCATGTACGGGAAATGCAGACAGGAGGCGAAGTCGCAAGCGCTTGTGTCAATTGTGATCGCGCGGGAGACTCGGCCGCGCGCCACTGCTGCTGCCGTATATGGCAGGAAGGGAGTCCGAATGCGGGCAGGCCCTTTTGTCTCTGAACCTCACGCGTCGACTCGTTCTCCGTTCCGTACTCCTCCTATTGTCTTGTCTGCCTTCGAGAACCCAACTACGCCGCCCTTTCCGACTCACACACAAAAAGAGGACGGACAGCGTGCATATGTCTGAGTCTTGTTCAACAAAAGCACGAGCCGCCCACTTTTTTGTCTTGCAGCGTAACTGGCAACCGTCGACTTTCTCGAACTTCAAACGCGCCGAGCTTCTCGTGATTAGTTAGTCTCGAGACCATCCATTCCCATTGCAGGTGCAAGCCTCGGAACGGAGTTCGCGAAGTTGCGTTCTCCGCGCATTCTGTGCGCTGGCATGGAACTCCTCGGGCTCTCTTTTGCTCCAGCCATCCGAAATTCGAATACAGTGGTATAACGTTGGAACTCCGAGATGCGACCCTCGTTTCATCAGGACACATTATTGTTAGCCGCCTCTCGCGAAGCTAGACAGACTTCTCCAGTTCGCCATTGAAAATCAGGCGGCTTAGGTGCCATTACAAGACATTCTCCCCCAGGTCTAGACCACTCATCAGGCACCTGGTGCTTCGAGAGTCGATGTTACCTAACCGGTTTGAGCAGACAAGACTCTAACGTGTATACCAGCATGGCGGCGGAATGCTGTTCCGTGATGTCTCGTCGTCATCTGTTGAACCTGCGTACATTGCAGCAGTGCCACCTTCCTCAACGACATGGAACCCAATCGGTGACATCTGCAGATCTTTGTTCTGTGGCATTCGTAGTGCTTGTCTTCGTCTTCCACCAGTGCCACCTTGCCGCCGAGAACTCCAGGGAAGCACCCACCCTGGTACGTGGCACGGCGACGTCATCCCTTACGTTGATACCAACAGCAGAAGGCCCACTCCCATCGTACACTGTGCCACCGAGACCAACGAGGTGCGTCATGTTCCCAAGCTACGATGGATGCGAGGATCACTGTCTGACCATGCTATCACTAGTACCGCTTTTAGTGAACTCGTGTAGGGTTGTGTGCGCGAGCGCTCAGTTCACGCTCCTCGAACGGAATATAGGTCTAGATGTATCCTGACGAGCTCGGCGAAGATTTCGGCACCAGGGGCCCTGCGGTTGAGGTGATCTTCCTTCCGGTCCTACGTTGTTCTGTATCGCTGCGTGCGCCCTAACTGCGCGTGCGTGTCTTCGAAACACACCAGTGTAGTGGCGCATCATTCTATGGAGAGTCTGGTATGTAGGAAGACTTGGCAGAGCCTGTCGAACTCCTTGCTTCCCCTCACGTCGACAGGTACAATAGTACCGCGGTCACCGGAGAACGATGCTCATCTGCCACACGACCGGCTCCATATGTACCTCCCAGACACGTTGCCGCTCGGGTGCTGATAAGAAGGTACAGCATACTACGGTTCTTAGCCAACTCGTCCGATCTTATCCACCACACGTTTCCCCACTACACCAACTTCAACGCACACCGCTTGACCCAAATAGCACAGCTGAGCTACCGGCCAAACACGTTCCGAGAAGGGTCACCCGTAGGATCTGATTGCGAGCTCATCGGAAGCCTTCAACCTGTCACGCACATTTTCTTCTGGACTACTGCCATGACCCGAGTACTGCACAGGCTGATGATAGCGAAGATCGTCCAAACGAGGTGTGTATGGCGGTGAGTATACGTCCGACCTGTGTCATTGACGTGGAACAGGTGCCTCGCTGTACCCGGAGCCGTCGTACTTGGCTATGGGCCTTCTTCTGGGGCAACGCAATGGAAAGCGCGTTCCAAAAGTAATGTTTCCCCAGCGGTTCCGTACATTCCATTGGGCTCGAATCAACAAATCCCGAGCTGCATCGGAACGCCGCGAGCATTGCAAAAGGCGGTGCAGCACATACTTGCCTTGGAAGTTGCGCTTCCGCCTTGCTATAGATCCACATCCTCCTCATCGACATGGATGTTCCGGTTCCAGGCTACCCCGTAGCGCCCTCCGAACTTCAGTCAGCTAGTCGGCCGGCCTCGCTATGGCTCCAGCGCGCTGCCTCCCGGTGGCATCCATTCTTCAGCTTCAAACCTCGGCTCAGCGTTCACGGTAAATACGACCTTCTGCTCAAAGCTGCGCTTGAGGGGCATTGTCAACAGCGTATGAATGTACAACTTGTAGTAGGTGCGGTGATTATGCGCCTCTCATAGGCGGAAGTCTGCTGTAAGTTGGTAAGGTGCGCATTTCATCGCTACGGAAGTTCGACCTCAGATCGGTACGTTCTTCCTCCACAGATCTGCGCCTGTATTGATACGTTGGGCAGGTAGTGGTCATCACACGTCTTTCTGTCCCATCGGCGTCTATAATGTGTTAAGTGCGACATCGGAATAGAACGGGCTCGCTCGCTTTCTAAGCTGTCTTGTGTCCCATCCCTCGGGCACGGACTCCGCTGGGCACCGCTCACACCATCATGTTACAAAAGTTTGACCAACGCAGGTTGAATGGCCTACCTAGGCCCATGACGCAACGTTTGAGTCGATATTCGAGATCCGGACAGGCGTAGACATCCGTCGCCGCCCGTAGGTCACCCAGGTGATCCTTCTTCAAACACTATCAGCTGATGTGGTACAGTATATCCGCGCAACAGCAGCCTCTTGTACTCGCAGATGCGTTCGGGGGATTGACCATTGCGTAGATACCTGAAGGGGCGGGCCTTGGCGCCCGCTGAGGGAGGCGGGGCCGAGCGGAGAGTCGGGGCGGGCTTGATTAAGAGATGATCCGCCGTGTGCAGGGGCAAAATCCAGCCCACCGAGATCTAGATGACACTGTCGTCAGAACTTTCTTTAGCCTTCCGCGTCAACATACAGCCCTCATCGCGACCATCTCCGGAGTCGGGACTCTATGCTGGCCATAAGAGCCCACCTCCCCACACGGTTTTGCATCTTTTCACTTCGGACCATACCCATCACCCGACACTGTCATCCCCATCCCCATCCGCCCCTCTCCGTTTGGCTTCCGAGATCCGTGGGCTTGCTCACAGTGTCGTTTAGACTTTCCTGCTTTCCGCCAAAGTATCCTGGTCACCTTATAAAATGGATACTCTTCCACCGAATCATTTTCTCAACCTCCAGCGGCCGGATGCCTTCGTGCCTACTATTGCAGGCACGCCTGACACATCGACGCTCGCCGCCCATGATTTCGACGTCGACACGCGCACCGGATTCATGCCGCCACAGCCCCCGCTCGCTCGTCTCCCCGAACCATGGGAGCCCTGGGAAGCTGCGCTAGACGACGCAATCACCAGCGGATTGCAACTAGCGGACAAGCCAGACTTGTCGGACGAGGATGAGAAGAAGTCGGAACGATGGCGTAATTCCGTCCGTGAGGTAAGCCTCCCCCCGTCGTGTCCCTTAGTCATGCGAAGGGGCGACCACTAATGTCTATTTTCTGTATCCACCCGGCCCCGAACCGGTTCCACGTTCGACGCACAGCTTCCGATATTGTCCATCACTGAGCTGAAGAACTCGGAAATTCTGCTTCGGCGCGCGCACCATGTTCTCGCATGGGTGATGCACTTCTACGTACACACCATGCCAAGTACAATGCGGGAGATCCATATACCACCCCCTGTCACTGTCCCCCTACTCCAGGTGTGCGCGCAACTGCAGCTGCCACCAGTCCTGACCTATTCGGATGACGTTCTTTACAATTGGGCGTTCAAGACCCCACTCGCGACGAATGTGCTTTTCCAGCCCAAGGCAGAATTGCACAACCTGCGCTGTCTGACGCTCTTCACCGGCACGCGCGACGAAGAGGAGTTCTACCTCTCCTCCGCGCGCATCGAGCTCCGGGGCGTCGAGGCGCTCTCGGTTATGCGCGCGATCATGGACGAAGCGTTCGTGGGGGACGAGATCGCGCACAGACGTATCACAGACTACCTCCGCATACTCGCGGACGTCATCAAGGACATGCAGGCGCTGCTCGCGGCCGTGCGCGAGGGCTGCGACCCGACCATGTTCTACAACCAGATCCGGCCCTGGTTCAAGGGCGCCGACTCGGACACGCGCGGGCGGAAGTGGGTCTTTGACGGCATCGAGCTCGATCCGACCCTCGAGGAGCCGACCGAACTCTCCGGCCCGAGTGCCGGGCAGAGTTCGCTCGTCCACGCGCTCGATATCTTCCTTGGGGTTGACAGGTACTCCCACTCCGACTTCCACGGCCAAGCGCGACCTGCCTCTGCCTCTGCCTCTGCCTCTGCCTCTTCATCCGCTCCACCCCCCTCGCCCCCGACGTCAACATTCAGCTCGGCGCCGGTCCCGCCCAAGGTTCCCTTCCTGACCCGCATGCAGTCATACATGCCGCGCCATCACCGCGCGTTCCTCCGCCACCTGCAGGCGAATCCACGCCCTCTCCGGACGCTTGTAGAGCAGACCGAGAACGAGGCATTGCGCGAGGCATACGACGTTGCGGTCACGGCGCTCAAGGAGTTCCGCGACGAGCATGTGCGCATCGTCGCGCTGTACATCCTCATCCCCTCGCGCCAGGCACACACTGGAGAGCCTAGCCAGGGTGGGCCAAAGGGAACAGGTGGCACGGACGCGTTCCAATTTGTGAAGGGGGTCAGGGATCAGACTGCTGGTGCGCTGTTAGGCCGCCCAACCCATTAGCATGTGAGATCATCCGTTGAACTACTTAGATGTCGGTGTTGTATGTATCATTAATTTGGTGTGCTATTATGTTCGCAACTTGCATGACTTTCCGAATGAACTTAAATCATCCTACAATACGGTTGACATTAAGTCTGCTACTCTTCTTGACGCTCCGAATTTCAACGCTTCAAGAATCGATCGAAACTCCCCTAGTATGGAGTTATGGACCATGACCCGGCAAGGCCGGTCCGGCATTGGGCCCCGAGGCGCTAGCCCACGCTTCGGCGCTTGCATGGAGAGTCTTGTGGCTGCGAGACGGTGGTGGCAAGCCGCCTTGACCTTGTTCTTCTCTGCGCCGTCTGTCCCCATCCTCCTGGCTTTCTTGCGGCTGTTGCACTTATATATATAGAACGCGCGAAATGGAGGACCCTACCATGGTTGAGGAGGAGGATTCCAAGCGGTTCGACTCCGTGAACGGCGAGAACGAGGACAGCCAACCAGACCCGGACGAGCCCCTCATGATGGATGCAGGGAATGGGCGAGTGTGGCTCGTGAAGGTATGCCTGTAGCACACTCTAGCGTCCCCGAGCTCCTACAATCTGCCCTCGGTGAAGATCCCCAGACACCTCATGGAGCGCTGGTCCGCAATCGACGAAGAGGGCGTCCCCCTCGCTACCATCCGTGTCTACCACAACGCCGAAACCGCGACGGGCAAAAAGCCGCGCATCATGCTCCTCCTGCCCCCGAATCCCGAGACGGGCGCCGAGGCCGAGGAGTACGAGATGGACATGGTCAACGACGACGTCGAGAATCAGATCGTCGTCGCAGAGCGCGAGAAGGAGCCCGGCACGCAGTCGCGCGCGCGCACGACGATCCTCACCGGCCGCGTCAAGCACGAGTGCAACCTCCGACCGATCCTGACGGACCGCTACAGGCAGCGGCTCAAGATGCGCAACCTGAGCGCGAACCAGCCCACGAGGCGGATACGCATGATCGAGGACGCGGTCCCCGGCGGGCGCGGGAACATCAATATGCTCACGAGCGGCGCGGCGCAACACTCGCCTTTCAGCCTCGTCGTACGCTTTCACGGTTGTATTCTGGTTTGAGGGCACAAGGGAGGCTCACGGTCACTCCGATAGCGTCCGAAAGCAAAACCTGCGAAGGGCCAGTTCGAGCGGATGGCCCGTATGCCGCGCGACCAGCTGCTCGACGAGCTCTTCAAGGCGTTCCAAGAGCGCGAGCGGTGGTCTATCAAGGCTTTGCGCGAGCGCACCCAACAGCCCGAGGCGTACCTCAAGGAGGTGCTCAGCGAGATCGCCTTCCTTCACAGGAGTGGAGAGTTCAATGGCAGTTGGGAGCTCATGGCGAACTACAAGGGGGAAGGGGTGCGTAAACAAAATCTGTGGGATATCCAATCAAGCCTGATGGTCGTCTCCTGCGTAGATGAAGGCGGAGGATGTTCCCGGACCAAGCGGCGTCAAGGTCGAGGACATCAAGATGGAGGGCGAAGACGAAGAAGATGACGACGACGACGAGGATGATGACGACATGGAAGAGGTCTCATGATGCATCCGACGTCGTCCTCCGATCGACTACACTCACGATGGACTCATAGCTCACACCATGTACAGGTTTTGTGTATTTTTATGTCGCATGTGTCTTGCTATCTTACGCTATGCAGTCACTAATGATCATTGGGCGCAGTTGAACGTGCGCCGTGCTTTGGTGAATAATGAGTGCAGTGGACATATTCCTGACTACAGGCAATTGACGATATTTGCCTGTAATTCATCCGCACAGCCAAACTGCTGCAATCTCGGTCCAGACCTCTGTGATATCTCCCTGACTTACGAAGACCCAATCGCTATGTTCTGGCGGAATTGATCATACGTAGACTGGAGGAGTAATACTGCTCTAAGTCAAGTCGACGAGAACTGAGAAGACGGTAGAGGTCGGAAACGTAGGGTGAGCCTCCAGCTCGAGTCGAGGACGTTTGTAGCTATCTCATGCGAGCGTAGCTTTCAGATGTTCGTCATTGGTATGTTCATCCCTGCAGTTTGACAAATTGTGTGACCTGATGCATACTCAAACCCCGCCTTGTCCCATGCAGCTCGCGCTTTCATCACAGGTCTCATACATGTTGCAGTTACGTTTGGCTCACATCTTGAGTACGGACACGGTCCGCGCTGCTCCCTAGTCTAAACCGACGTTTCTCACTAAATACCAGTTAGCGACAACGCGAGCATAGGTACGAGCACGACCCGTGACCCATCGTTCTCGGCCTTAACATCGATAAGATCTAGGTGCTCCAGACCGATCTCTAGGTCGTTGTGTCGGAGCGGATCGCCTCTCGCGAGCTCACGATCCTGAAAATGATATCCGCGCCAATTAGATCCCTTCCGACGAAATCGGTGCTATATGCCTACTCACCAGGAACGCCAGAACTTCCTGAGCGATGGATGTCACAAGGATGCCTCTTGTGATGAGCCGGCCTTCCACGAATTTTGCTGACCCAATATGCGATGGATGGTCCATAACCTGGAGGACAGTTTTCAGCATCGACATCGATTGGGAGTTGTCCAGAAGCATACCGAGACTCGAATATACATCAACACGCTGCCATCCACTAGGGGCTCATGAAATGCAGGCTGATCCGAGCACAGTGATTCCGGGAAGATTTTCAGAACAGCTTGACGCAAATTGCAACGGCCGAGATCTCTCACAAAGACGACAAATTGGCAACGCATACTAAGCTCGCCATTGCAAACGTCGGCGGGGCGAGGTGATGATAAGGCCGTCATGTACTCTGACGACAATGACAATACATACTATTATCTCGCCATGTATGTTACATGGGCTGATCATTCATTGAAGTGCATACAGAAATACAACCACTGGCGGGGGCATTGAGCTGTAGGACGCCGCGTCACATGACTCCCATCATAGAAGCATCGTGACTTGAGCCACGTTGAGACAACCATGTCACGGTCTCTTCGTGTCCCATCTTAATCTTACACTTGCTCCACCCAGCACAATGAATGCGATTAGTATATAACACGAATCTATCAAAACTTCCAAGGGGGATTGCGACGAGACACCCAACCAGGTAATGATCCTACAGTGGCTCTGATTACGATGGATTTACGATGGGACTACACGTCGATGTTCGGGCCGGTGAACCGGGCGTAGGCCACTGGCGCTCAGCGTCGACGCAAGCCATCGGGCCGTTGTTCGTGGGGTCCGTGGGAAGACAAACATGTTACCTCCTTCAGAACCTCGTCGCCGGTACTTGAGGAGGAATCGAAGCCTGCAGTGGCCTCTTAGAGACCAGCATGGCTGTGATAATCTTCGATCTCCTCATTCTGGGTGCTGGCTGGACATCTACCTTCCTCATTCCTCTATGCAAAGAACGCGGCATCTCCTATGCAGCCACTTCCCGTAGCGGCCGAGACGACACCATTGCGTTCGAGTTTGACCCGCATTCCACTAACCCAGCGCCTTTCCAGGCCTTGCCGAACGCGAAAACCGTGCTCATCACATTTCCCATCAAGGTCCCGGGAGCGTCAGAACGGTTGGTCGAGCTGTACCAACAGACACACGCAGAGGGGCCAAGTGCTGCTTTCATCCAGCTTGGTTCCACCGGGATTTGGGACGTAAGGCGTATCTACTCCTTGTCGCGGTTTCTGGTGGGATCTGCATTGAAGTAGGACTTGTGAATGAATGCAGGGTGGGCCGACGCTGCAAGACGGCAGTCATACATGGGCAGACCGTCACTCGAAGTTCGACGAATCAAATGACCGTGCGCGGGCCGAGACGGAGCTCCTCGCGCTAGCTCCGAAAGTCCCCACCACGGTGCTCGATCTCTGTGGGCTCTGGGGTGGTCCAAGAAACTTGAAGAACTGGATCCCGCGCGTTGCACCTTCCAAAGACGCATTGACACAAAAGGTATGACCGATAGTCGATCCGCAAGCTGATTGTCTCCCTCACATGCGCATGTAGGGTAGCATTCACATGATACACGGCCTGGACGTCTCGCGCGCCATCTTGGCCGTGCACGAACATTTCGACCGCGCAAACGGCGAGCGCTGGCTGCTCACGGACGGCCGGGTGTATGACTGGTGGGATCTCGCGTCCGCTTGGGGAGAGGAGGGGAAACAGGGGAAGTGGGTCAGAGAGCTCATGGACGAACATGGTGTCCGGGCCCTACCAAGGACGCCCGAGCGCATCGGCCGGGCGATGGACAGCAGGGACTTCTGGAACACGTTCGAGCTCGAGCCGGTCAAGGGACGGCTTGGTGAACATCCTTGAAGGTCGCCAATCTGAAGTCGCTCCCTTGACATCTATGTAGGGCATGAAGTCTACGTGACGGACAAAATTTCCCGTGAACGATAGGCTACAGTAGGCATACGATCTATGAAGCAGCATCGACAAAACAAGATACAGGGAGAGCACCGGGCTCCCGTTTGAGTCAAGTGGACGTCTATGGGCAAATTGTCGCCATATGAAAACTACATAGCCTTCACTTGGGTCTCCATTGTTTCAAATACTCCAACGAGGATGGATTGTTCTGAGTCCATGATTCCCTCACCGGGACCCGTAGAACGGTCACTCTCTCTGTGCCCATTCGTCGCAACGACCACGGGCAAGGAGGGACATCCCGGTACACACGCCGCTTCGAGGTCTGTGATAGGCTTATGTGCATTCCACGTGCTGGCGTCCTTCTCGATCGCCGCGGTATGGATGTCGGCTTCGTCGAGGTACGGCGCACGGAACACGCCGCCGGTGTACACTAGCATGCACGTCCGCGTGAACACCCACGACCACACTAGCAGCGTCGCGATCGCGTAGGTTGCGCCCCACACGCGGAAGAATGGCGAGTCTGTGACTCGGTAAAGCTGTATCGTTAGGTTCGCGTACACGCCCTGAGGATTGACGACATCAGCCAGCAGGGACGCAGGCACATCGGAAGAGGGCTCACGTTTGGAAAGATGAGGCTCCAGAAAGCCTGTTTGAACGGCACTCTGTCGTGCCACAATACGTCGGAAATCGCCATCACAGCGTATATCAACCAGAGCGTGGCCATAGACCAGAGGACTAGGGAGATTGCGAGCGTCATCACATTTATAATCCTGCCGATGTCTTGTTGGCGCAGGATGGTCGACGTCCCGGAGTGCAAAGGGAGCACAGAATTGTATCCCGATCCGAGGAGAAGAATGGAGTACGCTCCTTGACCTAATGGGCCGAGTGGAATGAAGACGCTCGCCACTTCGGCATGCCGGGGAACCCCATATAGCGCGAGACGGAGGAAGTACAACGAGAGCATCATGAACGCCAGCGTCAGCCCCATGGTCACCAGCGCAGTCGCGAAGACAAGCGTGGCGAGGGTCGCTGTGATTGAGTACTCGATTAGGGATGCGGCGAGGACTCCGCCAGTGGACGAGGCGACAATGAGAGTTACGACGGGTAGCAGCCAGACGGCAGTGATCCTCTCCAGAGAGTGCTTCTGTCGAGTGAACCTAATGGAGAAGGCCCGGTCAACAACGTCGCCCTGTGAGTATCAGAGAAGCTAGTGTGAGCGCACTGACATAATGTGGACAATGCCGAAAGCACACATCAAGGACACAAAGACGTCGGCCCACCATAAAGCCCAAAGGGTATACACGAAATATCTGTCGCCGAACCCGGCCTCTGCGTGGATTCCAGCGGCGATACTGATAAGAGTGGTGGCGCCCATAGGGTATGTTGCAAGAAACAGGGTTTGTGTTGGATGTTGCATGGAGGATCGCCAAACTTCCGGAAACATGGCGTAGCGTAGTGCCGTGACGATGTTGAAGATACCGAAGAGGAAGAGGTCAAAGAAGAAGAATATGCGAACAAGCGTTTCTGTAGCCGTCGAGCGGTAGACGTAAGGGGAATTCTGCCACAGAACAGCGATAGCACCAGTTCCTGTTCGAGACCCCAGAGTCAGACGTAACTTCCCTCATCAGCGGCGGAGCCCTCACCCATGATAGCGGTGAACCATGCTGGAGTGAAATGCCTGACAAAATGATGGATCAATTTTGAGGCTGTTTGCTCGACCTTACTACATGTCACCACGTACCTGACACATCGAGAAAGTCTTGAGTGGTAGCTTGCAGCCGTTTTACCCACATCTACTGATTTGATAGACATCGTACTCACTGCGAAGGTGGGGAGCTTGCTTGTACCGCCGGTCTCGCCAAATTTTTGAACAATGCGTTATGACGGCAAAGATCGGGTCACAACGGCGCGGTCATCTGAGCGCGGGACGATCATTGGATCCCCCGATCGCTGCATAAGATTTGCACGTTGGCTGAGCCTACGTAAGTAGATGCGGTACCAGTACGCTATGTTGGGCTAACAGGATAACCTGGACCTAGCACCGCGTGAAGCGCCAGATTACAGAGGTTGGGGAACACGGAGAGGATGAGCACATTACCGCCACATTCCCGGCGTGTTCCCACCACATTCCGCAGGTTTAGAGGATGTCATGGTATTAACTGCCTTCCCCTCACATTCCGACCATGTTCCCCACATATTACTTAGACATTCCGCACCCTGCATAACATGGGATCAAATGGGATATACAATTTTGTATCTTATTATTCATATCCATTTTTGGTGCCCAGCTTGGCGCCTAGTATTCGTCCCGATATTGGCAGCCAGATTGAATTAGATCGAAATGAATATATATTCAAATGGCGACTCTCCTACGCTACATCCGGACTTCTCTATATATCATACAGACCGGCCCAATCAACCCTAACCCAATCACATCATACCCGTAGCCGCCAGCACAGCGATACTGGCTTACAATTGGACATCAGACACAGCTGAGATGGCACGCGCAATACATGCATATATGCACTCACCATGTCGATATTTGAGTTCTGCTTAGAAAGGATTAGCAGTACACTGTAGCGTTGAAACTGGGTACTCACAGTCTTAATCAAGGACAATCGATAAACGCGGGACAACCTACTAGATGCGGCAGCCATCAGACTTTGGGACTTCACACGCAACACTAGAGACGTACTATTGCCCTGATCAGCAGATGTATTTATGAGAGAACACCTGCATGTTAACACATCAGCTGCCATCCGAGAGTCAATGGTCAGGACGTACCAAGGGGAAGATAGGCATACGGAGGGAATGCAAGAAGTACGAAGTCAAGATGTGGACGCGATGGCAGGTTGATATGGGACCATACGACGACGTCATCGCGGACGGATAAGTAATTTTGGGCAGGCAAGTCCCCCTTATTAAAGAAATCTGCACAAGCGGTTGGGGATGTTGAGGGAATCTGGAGAGAATGTGCATGTTCCCACCAGATTCCCATCAAAGGGGGATTTACTGGGGAATCCGTGGGTGATATGCGCGGAATACGCAAATTCCCAGCATGTTCCCCGCCACCGTAATATGGCGCTTCACGCAGTGTAGGGCTTTATGGAGTTAACTGTGACAGGAACAGTCGCGGAGGGCGGCTGGTAGTGTTCTTGGCAGAACGCTGCCATTCTGCCAGAGGCAATTGCCAGGCGGCAAATGCCATTTTGCCGGCCACCGAGACCGCCAGTATTTGCCGGCCCTGGCAATTGCCGTTTTGCCATTCTGCCATTTGCCGGAGGCCGGAACTATTCTGCCCTGTACAGTGTACACTAGCGGCTGGTGGAGAAGAAGCGCCGGATCTGGTTTCCAGAAAGCGCGTGAGAACATTGTACTTGGCCATTAAATAGCGCCGCATTGAGGATCGCCATCATCTCTGCGATGACGACAGTCGCCCTTCAGAATGTTCTACACAACTGGGCTCCGCCGTTTCTTAGCATTCTCAGACGACGATTGACATAGACAAGGTATATCGTTGATCTCATGCTTGTCTCTCACTGCTTAACTTGCAACAGAGCGGCATCTCTTGTTTTGCCAATACTGGTTGGTTCATTAGCTAGCTATCAGGCGGGCTGCTCGACACGCTAAATGTGATCAATTCTAGTTCTCCAACAATGTCTACACGTAAAGTACCGTCTATGCATCACAAGTGTCCGGTCGTTGATACTAGCGTAGGTATCGTTCGGGAAGCCTGCGAGCTTCCTCAAGCTCAGGCATGACGTCAACAGTACTGCCTCCGGACGAGTAATGCGCGGTGTCCGACTCCTCGACCTTGACATGAACGAGATACGACGAGGAATAGTCTGAAGTCTCTTCGCGCTCAATGCCGAGGCGAATAACTACGGCAAGACCATTGTCGGGCTTCCGAAGAACGATAGGACGAAACCCGGCGTCGTCAATGTATCTAGCAGCGCCATGAGGGACCGGGCCTTGGTATGTAGAAAGAGGGAGGCGATGGTGCTGAGCTTCCTCCTCGGTGAAGAGCCATGCCGCCGCGACGTTGACGTATCGCCCACCGACGAGGCTCACGAGATGTCGAAAGTCGCTAATGTTGAGCTGGAGAACATACTGGCGCCGTCGTAGGATGAGTGAGTACGTGAAGGCCAGTGCGCCGCTAGTGGGCTCGCGAAATTCAACGTCGTACCCCCAGGCGTGGAGGACCAGAGTGGTATACGGTGACAGTTTTAAATCACCGGGATCGTCGAACGTCCGATAAGGGCGGAATGACGTTGGTGCCCGGGAGACAACCGTACGATCAGGATGAGGCATGTACGCGGATCGAATTCGCAGATGGTGGAGGCAATCCTTGAGTTTGGTCATTGTCAGAGGTAGCACCGCGAAAGTGCGTATCTCGTATTCGAAACGCGTCGACTTGTAGAGATCCCGCCTCCTCAACCGCATCTCTCGGCCCATCACAACCTCGCCTTTGGATGGAGACAGGACGATGGAGCATAGGCGGGCCAGGCAATGATTCGGGCGGCCAATGTTGAGCTGGGAGGTATGGCAGCGGAGGATCGCAAGGTACAATTCCGACAAATCGTCGATGTCACGCTGCAGCTCTGCACGTATCTCGTCGTCGGAAAAGTATGCTTGAAGGGGCAGGACCAGGAACTGCGAGCGAATCCCGTAAGGTGTTGTCGTGTAATCGAGGTGCGGGACATCTGATTCGCCCACGCAACGGAGATAGTCGTCTTCTGCCATGCTGCCCACGGTCCCGGACATTGCGAAATCGGATGGGGACGATGCGAAGAAGGATGTGACGTGTTTGGACAAAGAGCCGTTTTGAGGCAGGTCTACGCCATCACCACGCGGAAGGTCGTGAATACCCGTCGGCGATACTGGAAGGGGGTTCTGCCAAGTACAAACGTGTCCCCATGCGAAGAGACTCTGATCTGGTATCCGCCGGAGGATCTCTTCCTGCAGCCGTTGGAAGGCCCGTTCGCCCTCCCCGTAGAGGGTGGGCATATTGAGATCGAAGATACCAAGGAGCGAGTACGCTCTGTCCTCTGTGCGGGTTGTCTCGCGTTTCGCGGCCCAAGACATGCGTTGGGCGACGCTGACCGTATCGAGAGAGGTCTCATGCGTCAAGACCCGGCGGTCGATACCAGTAATCTCCTCGACGACCGCCGCCATAGTGCCCTTCGATCCGAGCGGACGCCGGTCTTTGGACAGGAACACAACGTGTTTGGGAGCAATAAGCTCTTGCAGCGTCCATCCTCGCTTGAACCACCGGCTGTCGCGGAACGGGGAGCCTTCAGAGTAGTCGAACATGTAGGGGACGTCTGCCAGGAGCGCATAGCATATCGTCGCATGACCGTACCAGGCGTACATCGAGTTTATCGTTTCTGACAGCTCGGAGCTGCTGGACTTGTTGATGCAATATGAGTCTATCCATAGGAGGCGGTAGCCGTGGTTGCGGGCAACCTCGCAGGACTTCTTGATCTTCTCGGCAAGCCGATGGTCGTCCCAAAGATCGGACGGCCGGTCTTCGCTAATCGCCACGTCGTTGTTGTCGCGGTCGCTCGAACGTCTGCAACAGATCCGCCGGATCCTGCTGTACGCACGAGACGCCCAAGCTATTGATGGTTGCTTCGCACGAGATGATACTCTCTGAGCAGAAAACGATGTCAGTGCGCGTCAGCTTGGGATGACTGAAGCCTCCACTCGACTGATACGTACTTGTATGGGATAGTCTATCTGTATATTCCTGACCTCTTCGTACGTCTGTTCACCCCCAGTGTCCCAGGTATGCGATAGAATGGCATATTTGGTGTTAGAGATATCGGAAACTTCGATGAAATGCCTCGTGTGTGTATCGAGCAAACGCATAACAACTATTCTCTCTGACGTCAGTCGTGAGTCTTCCGGCACTATGATACAATTCACTCACTAGTTCCTGACTAGTTATGGCCTCTGATGGTTGCTATCGGTTGTTTAAACACGCAATTTTGTGGGAGGGCTACGTACGTGACATACGAAAGCGCGGATCGCTGAAGCCCTTATGTACACTACCACTAATGGCAGCAGATACCTATTGCACCCGTCGTCGGCTGTTACGACGGTACAGGACAGTACTGCCCCTGGCCGACGGCCGCACAGCCTCCAACGTCTTCCTGCGAGACCTTGGGGGCTCAATTATGTGGACAGTGAGGCAAGGCATCCGGAGCGGTTTTATTCGCGCGGCCGTTCTCACGTTCCACGCAGGGCGATGCATAGCGTCCAAGCTCTTTCAATGGCACCGAGAACCAGGCAGGGAACACACAGGATCCGCGGATAGAGCAAGGCCGACTGGAGGCCAACACACGTGGAATCAGGGAGTGGGAGGGACATGTCAGTTTTCCAACGTGTATATCTAGAACACTTGAGAGGTGTACTCACGACTTTTTATCGACTGGAGGGAACTCATTTTGTACGTCCTCTTGTCGTCCGCTTGTTGCCGATCGCGAACCCCCGGTTCCCTGGTGGTCCGTCGCAATGTCTATCATCACGATCGGCAGAGTCATCACCCGGTCCAGAGGCTTTTGATAGTTCAGAGTGACAACGATTAACATCGAAGGGTGAGCTGCGCGGACTGTTGAGCGAGACAAATATTCCTTTGAGACGGTTTGAGTATCACCCTGAGGTGTGACCAGCGGGCTATGAGGACCACGAGAGCTCGTCTGTGCCGGCAGGCACGTTCAGACTCACCCAGAAGACTAAGCGGCCAATCCCGCGAGACACTCCTCAACGCAGTTGCACACTACGTAACACGCAGACTATTCGTGACGCAAATATGCCAGGAACTGACGTCTTTGAACAGACCAGGGCGAAGAAAACTCTTCAAAACGGACTGGAAATGAGGACTCAACTACAGTGGCGGTATGATACAAGTGCAAGAAAACATCGCGGCGCATCCGTAACTGATAATACGAAGATCTAGGCTGATGAGCGATGACGCACAATTGTGAGTAGATATAGACACTGGACACATCGAGGAGACTTACAGTCATCTTTGCTTTGTGCCTTCTTCGGCTTTCGGCGAGGCATTCGCTCATAAGCATTGGTATCATCGCTGTCGCTCTCGAGCTCGTGCACGACGCCACTACCCTCCCCGCTCCTTGACGCGGTGCCGTGCGCTCCCTCCGAGTGGTCGTGGACATGTTCATGGTCGCGATTACACCGTCGGCGGGCAGGTGCATCAGAGTCAGAATCCGTGTCTGAGTCACTCGACTCGGATGAAGACGACTCGTCAAACTGCCTCGGCTTGTGGTAGATACAGCAGACTGCAGAGGGAGACAAGCAAATGAGCCACGAGGGAAGTGGAAGGGGATCTGACCGGACTCACTCTTCGACTTCTTCTTCCCCGCACCCTCGTTATCTACAACATCTTCTCGCCAGACCACACGCTGTCTGTGCCGCGCGACGCCGCGGAGGCGAAGGGTGCCCACAGCCTGACTGTCCGAGCTCTCGTCCTCGTGCGGCTGGTTGTCGTGCACGGTGATCGTCCGCGATCCATCTGAGGGGGCGGAGGCATTCGGGCGGCGGGCTTGTCTGGTCGACATGGTTTCAGGGTATTTATGAAGCAACAAAACAGAGAAGGTGTGGACGAGGGTGGTGGACGGGATATGGGAGCAGGATGTGGGGGAACGCCCAGAGCGAGGAAAAGGTGAGGTGGTAGACGCCCAGAGGCCAAACGACGTCACCACTCGAGCTCGAGGTCCGACCGGCCGAATTCGTTACTCGAGGCCTCTCGCCAAGCCTCAATTCCAGGTCGCAACGCAATCATTGAGACTGCAACCACGACCACCTCGTTCACGACGACTGACGCTACCGCGCCGTGCGCTCTCTGCCTGGAATCAGCCTCTTCTGTGCCGCGCGAGACATGCTCGTATTCACCCGATTCTGACGCTGAGGACCTAGGGTACTGAACATCGACTCGGACCGTCTGCCGACCCCACCCGGCCGACCCGCATTCAGCGCAGCAACTGTGAGTACGTGAGGCCCGGTATGCACCGATGGCTCGAAATGATGTGCCCACGCTTCAAGCGTGGGTGATGGCTGGTGAGTACTTGAGCGGTTGTATGCGTGCTCGTTTCCGTGCGGAGGACGTTCTGACTGCAGCAATGTGAAACATTGGGCGGAGAAGAGCCTAAGAGGCTCAACACAGCGTGCAACACAGCGGTGTTCTGGTGTCGGTGTTGCCTGAGTGGAAACGTAGGGATAACCACGCAACAATGGTCTTTGAGCATCTCACCCAGGCGGAGTATGGTGCGGAACTGCCGGGAATTCGACCAGGAGGCCACACTGCCTAAGCTTTCCCGACCCCAGACTGCGCTTGCATCGTCCTCTTCGCCAGTATTCTTCGAATGAAATCCTTGTGTGTGGTCTAGGCGCACTGGGCGACGAGATGGCGTCGCTGCTATTGGGTGAGTGCTATTGCAAGCTTGTTTCCGCTAGGGCTGATGCCCTCTGCTCCCGTCTTTCAGGGCTCTAGACCCTGACACCTATCTTGTCGCTTCTATCCTTTTTTCGACTGCGGGCGCTCCACGATCCTTCAGGATGATGGAGGGGCACCTACGCTCTCATCTACAGAAATGCTTGCGATGTGCTTCGCCATTTCCGTGGCCCGTCTTATGCTCACCCACAAAAAGCCTATATGCATTGCATTGTTTTGCGGAACAACCAGAGGTCATCGGGTGGCCGACTTGTTCATCCGGTTTCGTACCTGACGCTCGTCGGAACCCCTATCTCTTTCGAGCTTAGACGTCCCCGCGACGAGTCAAGCTTGTTCAGTGCCATCGTACGAAAAGAAGCCATGGCAAAGGCAAAGTTTTTCGTGACATACTCGACTTCGCTGTGTGATTCTGCATGTCTATCTGCGAACCTCTCCTTCGCGGCGTTCGGATTACCACAATTGCCAAATGGCGTGCTCCACCTGGATAAATTCGCCAATAGGGGCTTCATGTCGCCCTCGCTGGAGGAATCTCATCAGTGTTCCTGTGCTGCTAGCTCCCAGATCTAGCTCATTTCAAGTCTGAAGTAGACGGCCGTCAAAGATCGAGAACGGCGAGCGGCCGCGGACGGACAGCTGTTACGGTATTTAGATCCTTTTTCAAGGTACGCTCCGGTTCGGCGCTGCGGCGTCGCAACTGACCTTCCTCTTTGAAAGAATCCACTACCTGGGAGACAATTGATTTGTGCGCCGTGATGATGGGAGGACTCCGCGCGCCTGTGGTGTTTTTGTGCAGACCGGCGAGCTGAGGCCTTCGCGCCCGAATGTTCACTGCCACGGACGACGCCGCCGGGTCGCAGATGGAACATCACAACAAGCGTTCCAAAGCCACTCGTACCAAGCGAGTCCTGTCGGGGAAAAAGATTGATGCATTGTGGATCCCCTTTCTCGGAGCGGGACTGGGAAGTCCGCTCGGACGCTCGCCAGTGTCAGAGTATAAAGGTGCGGAGATGTTGGTCCGCGTCCCCGCAGTGGCTTCGTCTATCCCGATCCTTCAGGTTCTGTTCTCCTTGTTTTTTTCTCGCTTCCGTTCCTTTCCTTGCATCTCCTCTCTTTCAACACATGCTGTCTGCGAGCTTCAACAAGCGATCTTTGCTTTCCGTTGCGTCCCTCGTCCTGACCCTCGGGAGGTCGGTGCAGCGCACCATGGCGTTCGACATGACCAAAAACACCAACGTACGTTCGACTTTCCCCCCACTCGCCACCTCATGTCTAGACTTCGCTGATCATTACGCTCCAGCTTGCTGTGTACGTGAGCTCCACATGTGGCGTCGGCGCGTTCGGAATGAATTGACCATCCCCTACAGTTACTGGGGCCAGGACGGCGACGACAAGCAGCAGTCTCTGTCTCACTACTGCCAGGATGACACTATCGACACCATCCCGCTCGCCTTCCTCTACCAATTCAAAGCCAAGGGTGGCATGCCGGCCATCGACTTTGCCAACGTTCGTCCCGTCCCATCGATTGCATTCACCGAACGCAGAACACACGCGCTGACGATCGTTTTCTTACACGCAATAGACCTGCAGCGCCTCGGGAAACTCGGTGTTTGCTGGCACCGCGCTTGCCAACTGCGACAGTTTGGCGGACGACATCAAGACGTGCCAGAAGGCCGGCAAGATCGTGACGCTTTCCATTGGTGGCGCTACGGGCGAGGTCGGGTTCTCGTCCGACTCAGAGGCGAAGACATTCGCAGACACTATTTGGAACCTGTTCCTCGGGGGTGAGAGCCCTGTGCGCCCCCTCGGCGACGCTATCCTCGATGGGTACGTACACCTAGACGCGCGTGGCGTCGCATTTGACGTTTGGGCGAGGCGAGCGAATCGGACTGATGATGGGTGTCTGTGATCTAGCGTTGACTTGGACATCGAGAGCGGCTCTCCGGCTCACTATGCGGCGTTCGTTAACCGCATCCGCTCCAACGCTGGCGAAAACACCTCCGACAAGACGAAGGCCAAGTCTCGCCGTGCTCGACACCGGATGTTGAAGCGCAAGAAGAGCAGCCCGACTTCGTCTAAGAATAGTACTGAGATCGACGTCACGACCAAAGACAAGTACGTTGTCTTTTCGCTTCCCTCAGCTTTCCGGTTTTGATGCGAGCATGTTCCCTTCTTGTAGGAAGTACTACATCACCGCAGCGCCTCAGTGCCCTTACCCTGATGCCAACATCGGGGAGGCGCTGAACGAGGCTCACTTCGACGCCGTCTATGTTCAGTTCTGTAAGTATAATATCCCGCATGACGCCGACTCGAGCCGCTTCGCTAACATCTCGTGCCTTTGGCCCTCTAGACAACAACTACTGCGGCCTGAACCACAAGTCGGAGTACAATTTCGCCACTTGGGACAAGTGGGCGAAGACGCAGTCTGCGAACCCAGACGTCAAGGTGTACATCGGCGCCCCCGCGTCGTCCAAGGCGGCCGGCGAGGGCTACGTTTCGGCGGAGACCCTCGCCAGCTACGTCGCCGAGGCGCAGCAGAAGTACAGCTCGTTTGGGGGCGTCATGTTGTGGGACGCAGACACTGCCTACAGTGAGTTTCCTACATACTTTGCGACTTCGTTGAGCTTCGGCGTCTAACGAGGTCTATCCCGGCCAACAGACAACAACCGCTTCGACAAGGCGGCGAAGAACGGCCTCACGGCAAATTAGGCCCTCTTCCACTATTCATGAGCCTCACGTCTACACGACGACGAAATTACACCACACACCTGTTTCATGCTTACGCACACTCCTGGGGCCACAGGGCCCCATACACACGCATATCACGCAACTCCCCTCGTTCTCCCCCATCCATCGTTTCTGCTCCCACTCTCGTTCCTGGCCCCCAGACTGACGGCTCGACTCGCTATAACTATTTGGATCCCAGTGGGCCCCTCGGAGGGGTTTGCATTGACTGCATTGACACGACACCTTATCGGCGGCAGCAGCCTATACCATTCAGGAAGTAGTGGTCGGGATGGGCGGTCGTCGTGCGTTATTGACGGCTTTATTCGTAACGGTTATTGGTTCAGGGCTTTAGGTTATCATGTCCCGGGTGTACTCGACGTACCTGTTGACTACTGCTAGACGCACATGTATACATACTGTATCCATAAGAACTTAATAGCATGGCTTTGAAGTGTGCGGCACTTTAAAGGACGCAGTGGGCCTCGCAAATGGTAAATAACAATCGTCAATGAGCCGTTGAAAGCGCCGTGTTCCTGCTGGAATGCCTGTCTTCAAGTATGAGACTCCGCTTCAACCCACATCAATCGCTGTGATGGTCTCAGAGAGGAGTGGAGCATAGTGCAAGTGATAATCAGGTTCAGCGCATTCGAAGACCTGGACTACCTGTCGGGATGCGGTGATCAAACGCACGAGGGTCCCAATTTGGGGGTTCGTGTTTTCTGCCCTTGAGAACCACACGGGTGACCACTAGTCAGTTACAGCGATGTGCAGAATGATACGGAAAACGCATTTCGCGCGGGACCAGCGCTCATAGAGACGCTGAGGGTCACGGGACTCAAACGCTGACCGCTGTGACTTTGTTACTCATCGTTACAGGGGCATGACAATCGCCAATGAAGCACAAAATGTGGCTCCTCTTCACTGAACGAATCAGTCTTGCTTCATAGAACATCGGCTATGCATCATATATTCTAATCTTTTCTCTCTGCTCTCCTCATTGCCATGTTTAGCCTTTGGGGACCGTCCTGGAGGGCTACTGTGACCAGGATAACGCTCGGTCTCCGGCTCCTTCCGGGTGCCCGACAGCCCGGCACAGCGTTTGGGTCTCCGAGCGCCCAACAGACGCTGGCTCACAAAAATGCGTTTTCCGTATCATTGTGCACATCGCTGTAATAGGGTATATTTGACAGAACCTGGGCCACGAAACTGAGGCTCGAAGTGGCGCTGAGATCGCTCGAGATCATGCTCCACTTGACCTCGAGAGAACGCTGCTGCAGAATGATTTGTTTCCGAGAAGAGACTTGTTTATGTGGTGAGTTCCCATGATGGAAGGTAGTGTATGGGGTCCTCCCTCTTCAGTGCCACGCACCGCGGGATGCCTGCGCGATGCGTGGTACGTCCAGCCCCCAGGGTATCCGGGGCACCACCGTACCAGAAAATTTGACACACACTCGCTCGAAGCGTATATCCGCACGCTCCACTTTACTCAGAATACTTGCGTCTATATCTCGAGCGAACGTCAGATAGCCCAAGAAATTTCGCCCTGGGCTCTCTCAAATATACCCTAATGCGAGGGCGAAGTTGGTGGAAAGTGAGGGGAAAATTGCAAGAGTTGCTTGGATCGCCACCAGAGTCCTTTTGATCATCTCCCACCTAGGGAAGCTCGAGGTACCGACATAGTGAATGAAGTATGCGTCTTCACCGCAATTGGATCGAAGACAACCGTAGAGATGAGGTGACGCGGGTGGGCAACAGCCCTGAGTGGGCAGTGCTCACTGGAAGCGCACCATGGGAAGAGAATCCTTATATCGATGCCAACCTGCTGGTCACCCGCACCGGTCCCAATTAGTCACACAAGTCGCCTCCACCAGGAAAGTCACCTTTTTCTCGCCCGCGACCGCGATGACTGCGTTGGCGACGAATGCCTATGTCCTCGAAAAGTGGCAATTAGTTGGTTTACAAGGCCTAGCATGACGTACAACAGCCACAGGAACTTGCCTCGACCTTGACCTCGAAGGTTTTGAATGGACTCTACTTCCCGTTATGTATCAATTTTTGTGACTGCTGAGAGTATCCGAGGTACTTTGCTAGATGCAGCGAATGTCCTAGAGCGACGTGGGAAGATCCGGGAGAAGAACGAGGCACGAATATGGCGTTGGGGCGCCACGTGTATGTTCTGTCGGCGACGGTAAAGTTTGCAGGAGTTGCTGTGACGTCATGATGATCATTGTCGGCCTGAACGAAAGACATCGAACTCGAGCGAGACCATAAAGCAAACGACTCCAAAGTCTTCGATAAGCCCCCTACTCACGAAACAAACATTCAGGACAGTCTTGCTAAACGTGTCTTGTCCTGAACTCAACCGAGCAGGTGCACTCGCACTCACACATCCACAAACCTGGTATTGTTGTGGAAAGTATCGTATTGCCAAGAGTAGGGATACCGTATGTGTGAAATGCTCCAGAACCCAGTGACACGATGTTGTGGCCGTCTACATTATGGTGACCAGTAGAACGCTCGTGTATATTAAAATATAAGTAGACGGGGAAGGCCCATGAGAACAACCGATTATGCGGTCTAGCGCAGCAAACGTAAACTAGGGACCATACGAAGACGAGGTGACAACGTACCGCTTCCTTAAGCCACGTAATGAGGTCGTTCCGGTCCTTGTCCTTCTTCAGACCAGCGAAGGCCATCTTGGTACCGGGGATGTACTGGAGTGGGAATAGGTCTTAGAGACGAAGACCGTCTACAATGACGTGGCAAATCCTGCGCACCTTTTTGGGGTTCTCGAGGTACTCAAAGAGGGTCTGCTCGTCCCAGGTGATACCCTTGTTGACATTGGCAGCGGTGTAGGAGAAGCCCTCGGCCTGACCAGTCTTGCGGCCGAAGACACTACAAGGCGCGTGTCAGCAGCTGCTGAACCTCAGCGCTGACCAGTACCAGAGAACTCACCCATGGAGGTTGGGCCCAACCTTGTGAGGCTCGCCCGCACCAACAGTGTGACACTGGGCACAGCGGGTCTTGAAGAGACCAGCACCCTTGGCAGCGTCACCTGGGAGCGACCGAGCAATGAGCTCCCTGGTTTTTGTTACAGAAGGTGCATTCGTGACGTACCAGCAGCGTAAGGCATGTCTAATGTCTACTATTCGTGAGGGAGAAAATTAGGCGGCGTAAATGTACACAAGTACGAACGAGAGCTGAAGAGGAACAGTGGTGACGCGACGGGTCCTCAAATTTCGGTTATTATAGACCTTGGGGCAAGCCGGTTTCACCCGGGGCGCCGATAGCCAATCGCCAGACCGCCATTGAATATTCAGCATCGGCCAACATCCCGCGCGCCTCCCGTCAGCCTCCGGAGCGCCCTCCTCCGTCTCAGCGCTTAGGGAAGAACAAGCTTTCCTATCGTCAGAGACAATTTCTCCACTACCGCACCTCCTACAATGGCGGCTGCTGAGCAACTTCAAGCACAGTTGGCCTGCCCGCAGGGCTCGTCAACCTACCTGGATGACAGGTGCACATTTAAGCGTTTATCGTCACACAGACCGGGAGATGATTTCCGTACAGAGAAGGACGATAAGCTGTACGACAAGGGCTACGACCCGAAACACGGCTCCATGCCTGTCTTTTTCGTTCGCATCCTTGCGAATGAAATAGAACGGCGTAGCGGGAACTTCGCCCAGTTGGTCCCGATGGCGTACTTCCGCGTCAAGTTTGGATGCACAATGACAGCTTGGAGACCCCTTGTCCATCGAGCTCAACTCCGTGGGCATGATTACCACGACTGGTCTGACTAGAATGCGTGTCATTTCGCGCAAGTGGACCCATTCTGCTGGTGCCACTCAGATCCTAGCCAAAAAATATGTCTACTTCATCCCAGGGCATGCACCCACCGTCGATACTGTTCTCAATCTCCTCGTGCGCTGTCACCACAGCGCTTCGCGTCCGCGCCCACTTGAGCGGGGAACGCCAGCTCCCTCTCTCCCTCTGACGAGTTTCTTGTATCAGAGCGTCTCTGTAGCGACTATCTTCCAGATAAGGTTTCCCGACGGATGCATTTGCGCTGCGGCGCATTAGTATCATCGTGATAGACTATACAGTATACATTTGGTTGCAGGGAGAGCCTCTGCACAAAGACAACACAGCAATTGACAAAGTTCTAATCATATCTATAGTGCTTGAGCCAATGTCACTGATAGGCTCTAGATGATGCATACAGTCAGCAAATCCGACATACATTTACGACACAATTATGCCGTGCCAGCAACCATTTGTCTGGCACGCTCCAATACTGCGGGGACCGTCTTTTCACAGGGACCGTACAATACGAAATCCGCCTTGTCATCGCCCTGCGAAGGCGCCAAGTTGAATACGGCGACCGTGCCGCCGTTCTTCTTGACGGTCGTGGCGTATGTCGCTGCGGGGTGGACCTGCGAAGGGAAGGAGTCAGAAGGAAGGACAGTGCCGCAACGAGCGAGCGACGTACAAGAGAGCTTGTCCCGACAACAAGGAGCACGTCCACTTTCGTGAGAATGCGCGTAATCTCGCCCTGGCCCTCGGGTATCTCCCCGAACCACACAATACCGGGGCGGAGCAGCCCGCCACAACGCCTGTACCTGCTCATTCATCAGCTCAACCCCACGGGATAGATACGATGAATGCTGTACCTGTTCGACCCCGACCATTCCGGTCCCCCGCATCGTGGAAGTTGCTCCACGGCGATGAGCTCCTCGCCATTCTTTGCCCTTTCGATCACAGCCTGATCGTTGAAGATGGATGCCAAAGGCGTCTCCGCGGTCGTCTTCACGCACCTGCACTGCGTACACGTGAAGCGATAGCACGAACCGTGCATCTCGATGATGCGTGCATGCACCTCGTTGCGCTCGTCAGCATCGAGTTGATCCTCGGGGGAGGATGCCTTGTCTAGCGTCTCGTCGAGTGCTCGTCGACAGAGCCCGTCGAAGATCTGCGTAACGTACAGTGGCGGCTTGTCTTTCTGCACCAGATTGGGGAAGATCCGAGCGCGGATGGACGGGAGAGACAGCGACGCCAGCGCGTGATGTGCAGCGTTCGGCTTCGCCTCTATGCATCTGGATTGTAATAGATCAGCACGTCGACTCCTGAAGCCAACGATATGATACGCGCTGATCGCGTTTGGGTTGATAATAAGCCCAGACACGGCCGGGATTGTCTTGGAAAGCTTGGAGAGAGGCGACTTCCATGGGATTCTGCAATCAGATAACTGAGTAACGGGTGCAGCGCACATAACATAGCATTGGAAAGTCGGACAGTTGTGAGCCACTGCCCGTTTGTTCCACGGTAGGTGGTGATCCCAGACGCCGCGCTCAGCCCGGCTCCGGTGAGAATACCGGGGCATTTGCTGGATGTTAGGATGGTGCAGAATGCATCCAAGTCATTTAACGGTTGAGTGACAGCCACTTTATTCGGGACTTCGGACATGGTGTCATGCACTATCAGGAGAGGGAGAAAGAGAGAAGGCGGAACCAGCTTCAAGAAACGTTTATAGCATGCGCGCATAGTCACAAGTTGAGGCTTCCTTGATACGTTGGACCGGCGCACAGCCACTTATCAGCAAAAACAAACTCCTCCCGGGCCGTCGCTAGCGATGTTGCATTTGCCACGAATCGTAGTCGTAGTCGTCACCGTCTCCTCACGTCCAACATCCACCCTTGCTTAATGATGGTTATTGAGAACACCAATGGGACCCCTGAGCGGAAACAGTAAGCAAACCCTCATCTTGACTTACGATATACTCATTCTTGGCAGCTCCGTCGACAGTCTATCCGACGAGGAGCTGCACCGCGTGATCGACAGCGTCCGTCGTGATCGTGAAAAACTCGTTGGTTACATGCCATCCATGGACGGCGCCCTTTATTATCCAGTGTGGCGTATCGCACCAGACGCCATTGTCAAGCTGTCGGAAGGACCCAGCGAAGCGTACACGATGCAGCTCGTGCGCAACAACACCTCGATCCCCGTTCCCACCGTCCGTCGCGTCCTTCCGAACCACAAGGCATCCGGGGACTACTACTGGATTATCATGGACTACATTGATGGAAGCACGCTTTTTGAACTCTGGGACACGCTCACTGAGGAGCGCAAGCGCAGCGTTATCGACGCCCTGGCGGGCTATGTGCGAGAACTCCGTAGTATCCGCCTCCCAAACCCGCCAATCCCTGGTCCCCTCCATCCTGACGGCATTCCTGTCAAATGCAGGGGCTCGTTCTTCAGCGAAGATCAAGCTGGACCTTTCGGTTCCTACCAGGAGATGGCTGACTGGTTCGATCGCCAGCGCTCTCGCGTCAGGATGTACAACCACATGTGGCTCGGGGGGATGATATCATGTCCCAAATTCGACGCCACTCATCCACTCGTTCTCTGCCACATGGACATACACCCTCGGAACATTCTGATTGACAAAAATGGGACCCCGTGGCTCATCGACTGGGGTATCGCTGGGGTGTACCCACCATGGTTCGAGTACGCGGCCATTGCAGTGTCAGTCAGGGCTGACCATCGGTTACGCGAAGTGTCCGCTTGGAAGGACCTTGTTGCAAATGTGGTAGCCATCGCTGGTGATTATCCACGGTACTATGACGACTACTTGCTCGTCTTATTTCGCTTTACGAATGGAATCAACTTCGACGAGAAGGCCCAAGAGATGGATTTTCCTGACGACTATTTCGAGAAGTTGGGCATCACTGTGGATTAGCTGTTACCGTAGCCTTTATGTACTCTTTCACTCCGTCACCTAACTTTCCTGACTGCAACTACAACGTGACCCCTGTACACTTGCCTCGTTGACTCCCAAACTGTTGAGTACCTATGGACAATCGCAGATCTTTGGAGCTAACTGTGAGAGCCTGGCCATATCACACCCACTGTCGATCGATGGGGCGATTCCAAAATGTCTTCTGTAAATGGCATATTCCTTCATCGATCCCTCGAGCCCGTGTGGAGGACATGCAGTGGTTTTCTGAGATGTTCCGAGCGGCGTGCTTAGTCTTCAGGCCTGTATCGGAAACAGCGCCCTGGTCCTAGGATGTACACGGGCCGCCTAACGAATACACATACTAGGTCATAGGGGGAGCCCGTGGCCTCCAGAAGCACGATGTTTAGCGTGTTGTACCGGACTCAGATAGAGATGCGCCACTACGTGAGGGTAGTTGGAGAAACAGAATGACCACAACTGCGGCATACGCGAGCTATATGTCCTGGAGAAAACATTTGGCTCAGGAACATTTGGTGCGACCGAGGGGACACAGAAAGTAACTATTTCCGAGGGAATCTGTCTGGTGAAGCAGAACCCTCAAGAAGATTTGTTTCTGGGCTTCCCCTCTTCATTGAATTCATGCTGATGCAAACATGTCTAATCCCGACCGCGACTACATCAAATACAAGTCTCAGTTTCTCTCTCTCCGCATATTCAACTGTGGAGCTAGGCGCACAACTTACGTTCCAAAGGAAGCAGAGTCAATTCATGTCCAAGAAAAGTATCACAGGTTTGCACAACTACATATGTAGGCTCGCGACTCGAGTTTGAAGAGCATTCGGACCGGGTTACGATTGATTGACGGGTCCATCATTGACGTGACCTATTGACCCAGGTCACGCCGTGGGAATGTTGACGCGTGAGCGTGTTGAGTGTGGGAGAATGTTTCACACTCCGCCGCCCCGTTGTTTAACACCGCGCCCCCACCACCGCGCGCGACGCCGAGCGCGTCCCCGACGACCCCCCGCCCCACGTCCCCGACGACACCGCCCTCCCGACACGCGTTCCTCGCGCCTAGCTCATGAACGGCTCGCGGACCGTCACTGTTGCAGTAGAAGGCCCCATGATACCCACCCAGCCGCAGGCGTCCAAACGGAAAGCCACTGACGATGCGAACCCCCTCGCGGCCACCGCAGGCAAGAAACTCAAACGAGAGGTGTGTGCGCATATGCTGCGGTAATTTGCATGTAATACATGTCGCGTGGTATAGACATCTAAAGCCGGTCCCTCGACCAAACGGAAACGTGAGTGCTCATGCGTGTGAGAGCGACGCGTCTCTAAAGGCTGAATGTACGCGTCACAGTGAACGGGGAGGAACAACCAGGAGGACTGGTGATCGTACGCGCTCCTGCGCCTACAAAGAACTCTCTGCACATTGAACCTGTCCCGGCAGAGCCCCGCGCACCCTCCCGCCAAGCTTCGGCCCAGCCGCAGTCCCTATCGCAACCGCAACCGCAACCGCAATCGTCAAGGCCAGCTGCCAAGAAGCTCCGCGCAGATGGCTCCTCAAGAGCAGTGGGGAAGGCGAAGGACCGAGACGTATATGCGACAACCCGGGCAGATCCTGAGGTCGACGAGGATGTGCGGCAGATGCAGTCCGAGACGGACACGCTACGACGAAAGTCGCAAGCAGCAGAACAGGCGGCCAGCTCGCTGAGCGCTGATGTCCAGTTTCCACCGCGAACACCACGGCTCCCAAGTTCGTCGTCTCGGCGTGATGTTGATACCGTGGCTCCCTTAGCGCAGCAGGAGACACCGCAAATCGAGAAGAACAAGGTCATGCGAGGGGAGACGGGCCACCGGCGGAGATCCTCGATCAGTCGAGGTAAGCGCGCCAGTTCTAGTTATGAGGCTACTGGCGTAATCTGTGAGTGGCATGTCCCTCTTTTTGCTCGCTCGTCCGCCAACTTTGCGCCCAAACAAAATTGATGGCTCTTAGCCCATCCGCATACGTCCGTGTCCGTCTCGAGTTTCTTCAAGCACATCGACTATGAGCTCCCTGAGCCTCAGCGAGCGCGCCAACTATTAATATGGTGTTCAAACCGCGCCATGAACGAACTCGCCGACCAGGCGCCGCAAGCATCGACATCAAGACGAACGTCCACGAACTCCGGCAAGGATCCTCCACCTCTTTCCACGGCACAGGCGGGCGTGTTAAAGCGGACGCAGGAGAACCTGATGCGGATGTTAGCAGAGAAGAAGGTGGACACGAACGTGTACGGCGGAGCGGGGTCTCAGAACGGCGATGCGCAGCGTCCGTTGAGAGAGAACGAGCAGAACATCAAGAACAGGGCACGAGAGGCGAGGTTTAATGCTCACATACAACGGTGCGCTTGTCAACCTTTGTCTCTGGGCGTCCGTACAGAATGCTTAATGCTGCATACTCCGTGTTGCAGGTCAAAGCAGGAGGCTGAGGCCTGGAAGGAGCTGTCGGACTCGTACGACTCGCACAGGAAGTCAGTTCAGGCCGAGATGGAGAAGCGAAGACGGGCATTGGCTACCGCGAAGTCAAAGGGCAAGGAGCGCGCGTCTGCGGAGGATTTGGATGACTGGGATGTGGAGAGACGAGACTTGCCGGAGCAGTTCCTGTCGAGCGGGAGTGTGGACGTGGCGCGGAAACTTGTCTTTGAGAACGCCTCCAGGTCCACTCCTTTGCACAATCGGTTAAAGGAGCTTGAACACACAGTGCGTCGCGATCTCCCAGACTTCATGAAATCCGTATCTGACATTGTTGGATGCAGGTAGATCGACTGCATACATTCGCCAATTCGGCACTGCAGACGACCCGTGTCTCCGAAGCAGATCTCGATCGTCGCTTTGCGCTCCTCAATCTCTCCCTCGCATCGCGCTCACAACCAGCCCTCTCATCCACCCATGCCGACACAACTGCCCTTTCTTCGTATATCCTACCTTTGCATCCGCGCCCGCCACCGACAGATCCCCAGGACCTCCTACGCGCTCTGTCCAGGATTGATGCCGACCGGCCACAGACACAAGTGGGCGACGCGGCCCGTCGCGCTGTACGCGAGGTCCAGCGTGTGGCCGATGCAACTGCCGGTATGGCAGAGCGGCGGCTAACAGGTGTACCTCCACCGACCCCGCGCAAGCCTCCGGGAACGCCCCGACGGGCGACGACCCCCGGCAAAGGACGATGACGACCGTACACCTGCTTCTTATGCCCCCTTCCACTAGTAGCGTAGTAGACCCCTGCTTCTTTATCCATCCTGCTATTCGTTCCTCTCCGTCCGCCCGTCATATCGTTTTGTGCCGTGTTCTGTTCTTCGTTGCTGTGCCTGGCTGCTGCCGCTGCTTCCATCTCTTTCTCAACTTATACCCGGGCTCGTCCGGTGTGTGTCTCTGTAGTTATGAGCGTGGACGGGTCACTGGAACCTGCCGTTCGTTAGGAATGGAGGTTGTAGAGATGTATGTATCCTGTATTGGTTAATCTGCCTCGATCTCTTGTCTCATCTCTGTCGACGGTTGTCTCGTGTGACCAAGGTGCATATGCTTCGAGCAGATGCGCGCGCTCGGTTTCCGCCTATGACGCAGCGAGGCAGGCGCCCACGACCGCAGCTTCTCTCGAACTGCTTGCTGCTCTGAGCACCTATCTGGCTTGAAGTTACGTCGTCTGGAAGACTCGTCTTTCTCGCATGTCACGATGGTTCACACGGCAAGTCTTCCGCTGCTTCAAGACCGTTGAACGCATCGGCGACAGAATCACGGGTGCTGCCGGGCCCGTCTTCGTCGCTCTAGCCGTCGTGCTGCTCTCCATCGGCGCGTTCTGCTTCTGTGAGTATCCTCCTATCTCCGCTCTCTACATAAAGTGTCTGTGTCGTGTCTGAACCGGCTTCGTTACGTGCGCAGTCGAGATCATCCAGCCGTCCCTCCCCTACAAATGGCTCACGACGCCCATATGCATCGTCATCGCTCTCAACCTCTTCGGGCACTACTATTACGTCTGCACGGTACCGCCCGGATTCGTGGACGACTCGCCCCGCGTTCCAGGGACGGGTGTACTTTGGGCAAAGAAGAGGCGTTCGGCGAGGTACAGGGCGCTGACAGGTGTGAGGTGGTCGGAGGAGCTGCACATTACGCGCGCAGCGTCTTCCAAGTGTAGGCGGTGTGGGGTCATGCGCCCAGAGGTGAGTCGCTTTCGAGATATCAGGTTGAACATGGTAGGGAAGAGCTGGAAGCTGAGGCACGATTGTGAGAGGTCGCATCACTGCAGAATATGTAATCGCTGCGTGCTGAAGTATGACCATCATTGTCCGGTGAGTATGTTGCCGTATGCCATTTTACGCGAATGGTGCGGTCTGACTAGTCGGCGTTTTGATAGTGTGAGTGTGGTACACGGATCGCGCAGTGTATCAGCAACTCAAGGTGGATGCGCAGGGATTAACCAATGCGTGGGCATCCACAACGAGCGACATTTCGTCCTGTTCCTGTGAGTGTCCCTGACTCACATTTGCGAAACCACTTCTGATCGAATCGCATGCATATAGTGTGTACATGGTCGTCTCGACCGCGTGTTTCATAGGCTTTGGCTGGCGATTCGTCCTCGTCGCGTTAGGCTGGTTCGACGTAAGTGAACTGTCCACGTCCCGTCGACTTTTCACCTTCGCCCCAATGACCCGAACATTGTTTGTAGCAACCGTGGCCATATCTTGCACCGCCCGTGTGCTTCCTCCTGACGTTCATCCTGGCGGGCGTGCTCTGCATGGCCGTTACCGCAATGGCTGGCTGGCATATTTACATGATCGCTTGTGGAGAGACATCCGTCGAGAGCCAGGATCACGAGCACTATCGCAGGATCGCTAAACAGCGAGGGGAAGTGAGTCCATCCATGATTAGGTCATTCCCGCAACTTCTCAACGAAGTCCTTGTCCTCAGACCTTCGTCAATTCTTATGATATGGGGTACCTCAAGAATCTTCAACTCTTCTTCAACATTGGCCAGGATGGCTAGTACGTCAAGAAGTTGAGTTGATCACATGCGACGTGCGCTGATCCACTCTCAGCCCATACTACACGCTCCTACTGCCTTTACGCGTTGAGCCTTATACCGACGGTCGCGCGTGGGCAAGACGACCGGGTCTCCAATCACATGGGGGTGTCCATCCCGGTGAAGAACTGACAGACGAGGACGAGGAGTGATTCTCCCCACGCCTTCAAGCTGCAATGCATGCCTGCTATCGACGCTATCGCACTTCATATTATTATATCAGCCAAAGTCGTGAGTGCGGTTCTATAAATGCCTCTTAACGATGACATTCTGCCGGGGCCATATGACCCTTCGAAGTACGCTGCGTCCTTGTACGGCCGATGTACTTGGGAAGGAGAACGACTTACGTCCGGCTCATGGCGCGTGCACCAAGTGTTTGCGCCTCTTTCTCTGATTGCATATGACATCTCGGTCTTTCATGCGCGTGCTGACCCAAATAATGCTCGCCAGATAAACTTATACGATATCGGCGGACTTCGTGGACATATGGACAGTCTTCTGGTAAAATGCGATGTAGCGGACGAGCGTACCTTTTGGTCAATAGCACTTGTGGTCGCGTTGTACTGCGAAAGCCGTATCGAGATTTGCGAGCATGATATAAGCACGTGTGATATTTACAGAATACCTTACATGACGAGCAGCTATGGTACCTCTTGTGCGCTGACGACGATGTCCCTCCCATTCGCCCGGACAGATCGTCGCATGGGGTCTCGACTTAACGGTTTTCGCATGTCTGCCCCATATCCAACTCAACAAACCCCTCATCAAGCACATGAGAACGCACGCACCGAACCCATCCTCTTCGTCTCGTATGCTGTATCCCAGTCCCAGATTACTGTAGTACTCCCGCACACGCCGGTATACGCTGTATCCGAAACCCTCGTACATCTTGATCGCGGCGAAGTTGACACAGCGCACGTAGAGGTCAACGAAGTACCCGCGGTAGTTCTCGTCAGAGACCTTCTCGAGCCAGTTCATGAACTTCCGCGAGAGGCCAAGCCGGCGGTACTCCGGCGCGACGGTGAGCGCGGTGACGTGCCCGTGTCGCTCGATGCCGTTGCCCTCCGCTTTCCCAATTACTATAGAGAAGGATAGGGGAGAGGCGGGAATGAGGGGGAAGACTGGAGAGCGCGGGATAAGGGAGGACGTACCGTAACCCATCATACGGCCTTGAGGTGTCTCCTGGACAGCACACATATCCGGCCAGCGAGAGAGGTAGCCCAGATAGAAGTTGATGGCATACTGTATGTAAGACGTATAAGAGGTCGGGCTCCTGTTGTGTACGGATTTGCAGGGTGCGTGCGCACCGTTTCTGTCCACAGATCAAGGTTGCTGAATACATCGCCTGCCAAGTCAGTGAAAACTGCAACCCAAAGAGAAGGAGGGCACGTACATGTGGTTGAACTTGAACAGATCAGTCGCCTTGAAAGGTCGTATTACACTCATCGTGGCAATGGTCCTACAGACAGACAGTGTGTTGAGTACGTGCTAGAGAAATCCAATCAAGGTAAGCTTGGCAGGGGATAGCAGCTGTCAGTTCAGCGCCTCCAAGAGAGCCGAACCAAGGGGCCGAACCAACTCCAACGCTATTCCCAGATTCCTGACGATCTCAATTCACATTCGAGGCTGTCTTGCGAGTGCATGTGGTCTTGCCGACACCTGCCAAGTACTTCGCTCTGTCTTTGCTTGCCGTTGATACTACTTGTCCGCTGGTGCATGACCAGGCCTACAACCTCAGGCCTACACCCTTTCCTCAAAGCTCAAGTCGCCTTCATGATATGTTGTCAGGACACCTGTCTTCTCTGCACGATCATGTCGTCGCTAGTAACTCGAACCGGTGGTCAGCAGGATGCGCCTTAGCCTGGGGCGCGTCGATCACTACCGTTTCGATGGTGGGGCCCCATTCCGGACTTAGGCATGCTCGAATCGTCTCTCAACATCTAGTTGTCTGGCCTGTATCTCATCCTGAACTGCTTCGCAAGCAATACGGCGCCATCTGGTGGATTGTCGAAACTCACGACTGTAATGACGACGGGCGTCGTAGCGGACTGACATAGACTCGAGCTAACATGAAGCAAGGAATATACGATCATGGGTGGAAGGCCGACCTAACTAGCAACTTGGGCGGGCCAATGAATCCCGACCATATTCGAGGTGTCGAAACTGACAAATTTCGGACGTTCACACCTGGCTTCATCATAGGCGTGACGCGTTAGGCCGTCTAGCAGAACCGCTGCATCACCTTAATGCGTCTATACGCAACGCCGAGTGGCTCGAGTCTTTTCAGTGCCTTCGACTGTCTAGACTCCAGACGAGCTGAAAACCTATATATGCGGCGATTTTGATGTGTTTTTTTATACGCTTGCGTGTCAACCATAATGGCGAGCAGGGAAAAACCCATCGACAGCTCTCGGCAACGGTTAGGATGCGTCCCAGAGATCATGCTATATGCGAGTATTAGTCAACGTTAACTGAACATTTTCCAAGCACTTATACTCACACCTCGGCCTGTGAAGACACGATTTGGTCGCACGTAGCTGGCGGAGCTATCGTATTCTTTACTTAGGTCATGGCGCTCGATTAGCCACCATTCACATGGGCGATGATATAACTCAATCCCACCCCTGAATATTGAGTAAGTAGGCACCGAGAGATGTTCGACTGGGTTCCACTGCGTACATATTCCTGAGAGAGCCCATGGGAGCATAACTGACCTCGGTATTATTCTTCAAAGGCTCGAGCCGCCTGTGAACGTTTAAAAGGTGCGCACTGACAGCATATGTCGTCATCGCACTTGGCTCCCTGTTATAACCTCACAGCTCTCCCGCCCTCCAAAAGTACAGATCCCCAGTAGTCCACGGACCTAGCGATATCATGTCCACACCCACGCAACAGAAGGCGCTCTTCCTCCAAAGCAAACAGGGCGAATTCACGCTCGGCACGCGTGAGGTGCCCCAGCCCGGCGCGGGCGACATCGTCGTCAAGAACGAGGCGATCGGCTTGAACCCCGTCGACTGGAAGATCCAGACGTACGGTCTACTCGTCGAAAAGTATCCCGCGATCCTGGGGCTCGATGCGACGGGCACCGTCGAGGCCGTCGGCCAGGGCGTCACTGCGTTTAAGAAGGGCGATCGCGTCATTTACCAGGGCGTCCTGGACAACGATCGCGCCAATTTCCAGCAGTACACGCTGATAAACGAGAGCTTGGCTGCTGAGGTCAGTCGATCGGGATTTGTTGCAAGATCGGGGGAGAGGGACTGACTTGTACTGTACAACAGCTCCCGGGTAAGTTCTCCTTCGAAGCGGGTGCTACCCTCCCTCTCGCGTATTCCACTGCGGCGGTAGGCTTGTACCACCAGGCAGGTGGTCCTCAACTCGTTCCACCTTGGGCGGAGGGCGGTAAGAGCAAGTACGCCAAAACGCCTATCGTCGTCCTCGGAGGCGCGAGCGTTGTCGGCTCACTCGGTAAGGGTGTTATCCCACAACTCATCGTCAGTTATGAATCCTTGTCACCCCTCTAGCCATCCAACTCGCTAAGCTTTCTGGGTTTTCCCCCATCATCACCACTGCCTCGCCCAAGAACGTCGAGCTCCTCACGTCCTATGGTGCGACACACGTCCTGGACCGCTCCCTCCCGCAAAACGCCCTAATCTCCGAAGTCACAAAGATCGCGGGCGGTCCTGTGTCCCTCGTATACGACGCGATCTCGCTGCCCGAAACGCAGGCAGCAGGCTACGCACTCCTTGCTCCGAACGGCAAGCTGCTTACGGTGCTGCCCCCGACGGTTACGGAGACGACGGAGGGACGGTCGGTCGTCAGTGTGCTTGGCGTCATTCAGAGGGCGCCGAATGTCGAGTTCGGAAAGGCGCTGCTTGCGCAGCTGCCTGCCTTGCTCGAGTCGGGCGATATCAAGCCGCTGAGGGTCGAGGTTATCCCCGGAGGCTTGGGAGGGATCACGGCAGGCTTGGCGAAGCTGAAGAACAACCAAGTTAGCGGAACGAAGCTGGTTGTTCGGCCGCCAGAGACTGCTTGAAGGGATAAGGTGAAAGTGTGTGTCGAGTATGGCGATATGACATGTATGTGACGGAAAAGGATAAAATACCCCTATACTCTCCATCTGCAACATCTGGAATGTAACACAATTATATCATACTGTATACCATGCTATGCAAGACTCTACTTGCGTGAGGGGCTGAATACGTCCGCGTAGGTGTCTCCGGACGAGGTGAACATGAGCGGACTCACAAATCGTATATTTGAGTCTGCCCGTCACTACCATCTTGCGATATGACGCGATAGCCATTGTACAGGATACGTCAGCACGCAATGGTAGAGGAAAGTGTGCGATTCACGGGACGTCAGATACCGAGTATCCGGGTTATCAGTCATCACCATGCAACGCCAGTCGAAAATCGTGTATCGTGTACAAGTGTGTCTCAGATATATGTATGAATACAACATTACTCTTCTTCGTTTCACATCTGACCTTCGCATCAAACAAACACAGAACCTAAATCCAGCAGGCACCGTCCGCCCTTCGATATATCCGTCCCATCCAGTCGAACAACGTCAAGCACGATTAGTTAGAGCTAGAGCCCTTGTACCACACGTCCAAGCGCACAAAGTTATTGTAGACCTCCCCGGACGCAAGGAGTGTGTCGTCGCCCGTCGGGCCGCGCGACTCGGGCGGATGCAGCCACGCCGCGAGTGGCGCATGGAACTCCAGGAACGCCGCCGCTATTCGGTTGATTTCACGTTAGCGTTTGGGTGCATTGTTTCCGGTAATCTGGAGCAAGGGGATAATGGAAGAAGGGAAAATGACGTACTTCCAGGACCGTAGCCATCGCCGACCGCGCCGGAGCCGCCGTGGATCTTCTTTCGCGCACCCTTCTCGGGCGTAGCGAAATTGTTAGTGTAGAACTGCACGCCCACCTCTGAATAGTACATGCGAATGTCAGAGGTAGAATCATGCGAGCAGTGAGTGAGCAACACGGACGGTTCGTCGCGAATCCGAGGCGGAGACCGCTCTTGCCGCTGGTGAGGGAGACGACTTCCTCCGACGCAGGGCTGTCGCGCGAGAGCGCAGCGCCGACAAGGTCGAGCTCGGGCTTGAGCTCGGATGCAGGGAGTGTGGTCGGAGGAGGGGGTACAGCGCGAGGGGAGAAGACGTAAAACTCGTCTGTGGATGCAAGATGGTTTAATCGCGCAATGCAATAGTTCGCAAGGCCGTGGTACACACCGTATCCACTCTCTGGGAACGACTCAGCAATGCGACCGCTGGTCTTCTCGGCATGTGCATGGTGAGTGCCCGTGACGGGAAGAAGAGTGCCAGTTGAGAGCGCTTCCGCATTCAGCTCGATGGTGTGATCAGCCTACGAGGATGAGTGATGAGGATGATTGTGAGCAGGGCACGCTAGCACGCGAGCACGCGATAATGACTAGTTACACGCACCTTGATGGAGATCTTGTGATCCTTCACGCTCAAGGTCTCTGGGCCTTCTTGAAGCGACGCGTCAAGGTTGAAGCCCCAGTGCTATTGGGGTGTATAAGCGCATGGAGAATAGGGACGGCACCCGTTCATGTCTGGGCTGATATCGTGCGTGGAGACGGTAGAATGGCGTACATACCTGGGTGAGGTTAATCGGCGTCACCTTGTTCTCATCGAGCAGTTTCGCGCGGTAGGTGATAACAACGCTACCGAGGTTCCACTCCTTCCCCTCTGGGGTCTGTCTGGGTGCACCCTCCGGTTGTGCGAGCCCAATGAGGACTTCGATAAGCAGCCTACCAGGAAAGCCCTCCTCACCGTCCTCGGATATTCGCTTGAAGATGATGGACGAGGGGATGCGAGTCTGAATGGTGGCGAGTTCGGCAGGAGTGAAGAGCTCCGAGGCGGAAGGGTCGACAAGCGGCTCCCAGAGATACTGGTCAAATCCCTTCACACCACCATGCAACGAGACCGTGGGCTTCTCGTTTGCCTGGGGCGAGACAGTAGATTGAATGTTGTTCCGGCTGACGGAGAAGGAGCCGACTGGGAGACGGTTCGCATAACGGCCGATGATGGTGTTGGTGTACTTTTGGGTGAGGTGACCGGTAGGGTCCTCGGGCCCGATTAGGATGTCGTGTGTCTAATAGAGATTAGAGCGTTGACTATGAGTGTATTTTTGTGTACATACCTTTCCGTCCGCTTGGACAAAGAGGCGATGGAGGACGAGTCCGCGAGGAATGATCTAAGACAATCATGAGTGGCACTGAAGAGATAATATACGTTACGAACGGACCTCCAAGGCGAGAGAAGGCGTGAGTGAGGGAAGGGCGAGGAGGATGGGAGTGAACTCGGGGTCAGTTGGCGATGCCATGGCCGTCGTGGTGGGAGGGAGTCAAGAGACGATTCAGACACATGAACGCCCTTTCATCCGACATTCCGGCTGGGCGGCCCGGGGAAGCGATCTAGATTCTATCGCATCGCCGTCAAGGGATTCTCATCGGTGGACAAGATAGTCAACGTCGACATACGGTACTTGGCCGCAGTGTGTTGACCGGCACATCGCTCATTACGGGCAGATTAATCAGCGTATTCCCATCTACGCAGTCACCGTTGTCTATGAAATCGAGCGAAACACACCGGTGGCGGGAACACATAAATATCCCGTGTCTGCTCTCAAACAATGGTAGACTGGCACTTGCATCCCACTCATCTACTCTTTCAATCGCTCTCACCTCTCCATTAGAACCATGTCCACTCAGAAGGCTTTGCTTCTCCCCGAGAAGCAGGGGGAATGGAAAGTGGTCGATGTTCCCATCCCGACCCCCGGCCCCAAAGACGTTCTCGTCAAGGTCATCGCGACCGCCTTGAACCCCGTGGACTGGAAGATCAAGGAGCACAGCTACCCTATCATTGAGTACCCCTTTGTGGGCGGCACCGCGGCATCGTTGAGCAGATCGGCTCTGAAGTCACCAACGTTGCGAAGGGCTACAGGATGTACGTATACGTTCCTATTTCACTCTCGAACTGTCTCGATTTATGGCGTCATGACCTCTTCCTTTCGTGTACTTCTAGATTATTCCAGGGCTGGTTCAGCAACGACAAAGCGACGTTGCAGCAGTACACCTTAGTCCCTGCGGAGATTACGGCGAAGGTACGTGCTTTCACGTCGACGTGCGATCGTGCCGATGCGAATTTTCCTCTCTGCCCGACCGACGCCGTCACTGCATGCACGTCTGATGCAGATCCCCGAGAACATCTCGTTTGATCAGGCTGCGTCCGTCCCGCTCGCTCTCGCCACCATCACGACCGGTCTCTGGAACCATCATCCCGACGCGAAATTGGCCAGTCTCACCGCGCCGTACGAGGAGGGCGGTGAGACCAAGTACGCCGGCAAACCCGCGTTCATTCTTGGGGGTTCGTCTTCCGTCGGCCAGTACGGTACGTCATTCTTCTCTGTGGCTGGCTGCTACATACACTAATATTTGTCGGATATACAGCCATCCAGGCAGCGAGGCTCTCCAAGTTCTCGCCCATCATCACCACTGCGTCCCCGCGCAACGAGGCTCTCCTCAAGTCCCTCGGCGCAACCCATGTCCTCGACCGCTCCCTCCCCGCGTCGACACTCGCTGCAGAGGTGGCGAAGATCGCGGGCGGCAAGCCCGTCGAGTTTGTCTATGACACGATCTCGCTCGCGGACACTCAGGCGCTGGGCTACGAGGTCCTCGCGCCAGGGGGCGTGCTGTTCATTACGCTTCCCGAGCAGATCCCGGAGGACAAGAGGAAGGCCGGGGACAAGAAGATCGTGCATGTGTTCGGCAACGTGCATACCCCTGAGAACAGACAAGTTGGTGTCGAGCAGTACAGCAGGCTGACGGAGTGGTTGAAGACGGGCGCGAATGTGGTACGTTTCTCTCTGTTCAGCATGACGTTTAGAGGAGTTGTCTGACGAGTGTGCGTTGTAGCCGAACAAGGTGGAGGTGCTTCCGAACGGCCTTGCGGGTATCCCGGAGGGTCTGGAGCGGCTGAAGAACGACAAGGTCAGCGGGACGAATCTCATTGGCCGGCCCCAGGAGACCACATGATACAAAGCGTAGTAAAGCTAGGTTGTAATTGTACTCATCCACGGACGTTCGCAGCATGTGCAGACTTGACTGCATATAATTCACTGATCAGTACCTAGTGTTATTGGCCAACGAGCAGGTCAATGTGGTAGGTAGCTTGACAGCGCCCCTGTGTAAGCATTGCTCAGACTACTGAAGCTCGAGGCGGATGACGATGTCATGTCCAGTCGCAGGCTTCTTCGGGGTAGCAGGGAGAAGCAGTCGTTGACGCCATATTCAACCGCGTCATGAAGGCGTGGGTTTTCCCATACTGATCTTCCGGTGGAGGGCAGAGCGACGGAGGAAAGTCACGTTGTTATCCAGGGTTGGTCAAGTCGATGCCTGTGGACTTGCTTTACTGAAGAATTGGTATATGCTGACCCTGAATTGAACGACGTGCTTGTGGCCATCGTAATACGAGACCTTCCCGGTCCAATGCCTGCCTATGGTTCGCCTGTTACGACATAGCGCCCTCAAGCATGAACGAGAAAAGAGGTCGAGGGGATACCTGCGAGCGGCGATGATCTGGCGGGGGGCATGGGCGTCGCACATCTTCTCGTGAAAGGATATAAGAGGTCGGGTTATGGAAGAAAGGGCAATTGCTCAAATTGGTTCCGACGCCTGGGAGTGAGCATGAGCATGACATGCACACCCACGACGGTTCTATATCTTGTTTGGGTGGGGTCTAGACTACTAGGGAACGCAACGGAGGTAGGCAATTTGCTACGTGCTCAACGCCGATGCTCGGATATGAGCTTGAGGGCGAGAAGAATGGGATGAACTCGCGATCAGCTGACAATGTCAAGGCAGTGGTTATGGGATGAAGTCATGGGAAAAGGACGGCTAGAACGGACTCGGACCGGCCTCAGACAAGCACAATCAACTTTTCCGGCTGAGCGTCCCGATATTCGTATCGAACCTCTTCACCGACAAGGTCAGATTTATATTTGGTTCAGACGCTCTTCCTGACGAGCGCGGTCTTCCAACGCAAACCACACCTCTCTCGTGTCGTGCGGAACCTAACGCCAGAGTCAAACATGCACTGTCTGCATGACGTACTGATGTGACAGACAGGAGTAGCATCGGGCATCTGTCATGGACTGCGCATGGAATAACGGCAGATAGAAGCTACAGGCCTATTGTGATAGTTGAGTAGGTCGAAAGATGCATTTCAGGTCAAATTGCAGAGAGAGACACAGCGGAGAGACAGAGGCATACAGGATGTCCCGAGGCCCGGCATATTACTGTACGCGCGCCATGTGTCCGTTTCCCGACTTCGTCGTTGGATCCCACAACCGCAAGGACGACTTCGGAAGCTATTGAGAATACTGGTAGAGGCTTAATCAGCACAGGCTTACTACAGACGCAGCTGGCACCGCCGTTGCTAAGAGCTTGCGCAGAACACATACCAGTGGCAGAGGAGTATATAAACCTCCCCAGCCAGGTGTCATCTCGAATAATCTCAAAGCAACACCTCAAACCTCAACGACCACACGCACCGCTACACCAGAACCATGTCCACACAGAAGGCTTTGATTTTTCCTGAGAAGAATGGCGAGTGGAAATTGGCTGACCGTCCCATCCCCACTCCCGGCCCCGAGGACGTTCTAGTGAAGGTCGTCGCAGCGGCCTTGAACCCCGCTGACTGGAAGATCCCGGACTACAACATGATCTCCGCATATCCGTGGATCGCTGGCGGTGACGGCGCAGGCATTGTTGAGCAAGTCGGCTCTGCAGTGACCAATGTCGCAAAGGGCGACAAGGTGTACGTTTCCAGTCGGATTGTTACCCCGGGCGCTATACCAACTTCTGTCACGTGTTTGCAGCCTCTTCGAAGCAGACTGGGTGACAGTCGACAAGGCGACGTTTCAGCAGTACGCCGTCGTCCCTGCGCAGCTCACCGCAAAGGTACGTCCAGTCGCATCAATCTGCACGCATGCTCATCTGTCTGACCGAACGATGCCGTCGCTGTGCGCGCCTGGTTGCAGATCCCCGAGAACATCTCGTTTGATCAGGCTGCGTCCGTCCCGCTCGGACTCGCCACTGTTACGACCGGCCTCTGGAATCACCACCCCGATGCGAAGTCCGTCCACTTCACTGCGCCGTACGAGGAGGGTGGGCAGACCAAGTACGCGGGCAAGCCCGCGTTCATCCTCGGAGGCTCGTCTTCAGTCGGGCAATATGGTCCGTGGTCCTCTACCGTCTCATTCATGCGTGTATCGAAGCTCATCCGATTCGTGCATACAGCCATCCAGGTAGTGAAGCTCTCCAAGTTCTCGCCCATCATCACCACCGCGTCCTCCCACAATGAGGCGCTCCTCAAGTCTTTCGGCGCAACTCACGTCCTCGACCGCTCGCTGCCCGCGTCGACGCTTGCCGCCGAGGTCGCGAAGATCGCGGGGGGCAAGCCCGTCGAGTTCGTCTATGACGCGATCTCGCTCGCGGACACGCAGGCACTGGGCTACGAGGTCCTCGCGCCGGGGGGTGTGCTGGTCGTCACGAACCCCGTGGCGATCCCTGAGGAGAAGAAGAAGGTGGGCGACAACAAGAAGATCGTCAATGTTTTCGGGGTTGTGCACACCCCGGAGAACAGGGAGTTTGGTGCCGAGCAGTACAGCAGGCTGACGGAGTGGCTGAAGACGGGCGTGATTGTGGTATGTGTGTTCATTAAAGGCCGTGATGATATTGAGAGGACTTTGTTGACGGGAGCACATTATAGCCGAACCAGGTCGAGGTGCTGCCGAACGGCCTTGCAGGTATTCCGGAGGGTCTGGAGCGGCTGAAGAACAACAAGGTCAGCGGGGTCAAGCTCATCGCCCGCCCGCAGGAGACGCCGTGAGGTCTGGAATAATGTTCATCAGTGACTCCTCACTGTCTACCCTGTATGAGAATGCTTGCTCTGGAAATTCGAAGTGCGTTGTCCGCGCAGAACAGGACGTGGCTAGGTTTCTTCACTAGCGTAGACGGCGAGTGTGGCCGCTAACTGGAGCGCTTTGCGCTGAACCGTCAAAGCTCGTAACGAGTCCAGTTACATAACGAAATTCGTACCAGCTCGTCATTGAAGGTAGTCAAAGATGGTGTTCCGGTCTATCACTCTACGAAAGGGTTCGGGACACGATTCGGGAGGTGCAAATCCGTGATTCTGTCGAATCGACGGCGCGAATCGGACGAGCACCGCTCCCCGAATCGCGATTCTGCGCACTCGATTCACCTAATTCTCCCTTCTAGCTCATGTTTTCAGGATTCCAGTGCCCGAATCGACAACAAACTTGTCTACCAAATCGACGGTGACGGTGGTGGTCAGAGCTTGCTGAGGAATCGACGCCCGTTTCAAAGAGTTGAATATGATTACACCTAGCATTAACCATCGTGATCATCTTCTCATATGGATATCCAGCTGCCAGTTCCCTCCGCAGTTTGATACTGCCTCAGCTTTTGTTTTGAGCCATTTGTTTCGCAACAGTTTCCGAGCGAAAGGACCGCCAACATGCGCTCTACACGACTGTCAAATGACTCCTTCAGGATGGATTCGTTGAATATTGCTGGAAAGTACAGGTATGCTTTGATATATTTTTATGTATCGAGAACATTAGGAGGCCTGCTACAGCCGTCATGACGCACAACATGTGTCGAAGAGCTCGCTGACGATGTCCGGTTACGATAGACATAGATACAATAAGGTATGAAGACCATGCCATAATAGAGTCCATACGATCACCCCCCGAGGAGATAGAATATATATAAATCACGAGATGAGACACCTCCGCTCCTCAGACAATCAACGCGAGCAGATGAGCGGCGGTGGCAGACCATCAATGCCGGATCGCCGCCGCACATGGATCACCAGCTGGCCATTCACATCGAAGACAGCCCGTATGGACGCCATGTCGACGTCCGATTGTGCGAATAAAACTTCCCATTCGTAATGCGCTGCAGAAGCGCGAGAGGCGAGCCGATGCATGTATCGCGTGACACGTTGCAATGCGAGAGAGGACCGGAAATAACACAGGTCAGCTCGCTAGTACCACATCATCCTGGCCTGGATGCAGGGAAGAGAAGTGGAAGGCATCGCAGCCATGTGGACGAGAACGGAGTACGAGATCCGGAGAAGGGAAGGGTGCAGAGAAGGTACTCACAGTCGTGCTCTCGATGCCACAGATCCGCCACGACCGCGAGTCGTGCTCCCTTCTTCACCGAGATGGTGACCATCTCTGACGAGAGACCCGCCGGCAAGCGAACTTCCAAAGTGTGCTGCAATGGGGTAGAATAGAGAAGCATCGGGGGCGTCCGGCCGGGAGACGGCGCGCGCCTCGCGTGCGCGATAGGGGACTCTGGGATGAATGTCGAAGGTTGTGGCGATGGCGGCGCGAGGCCCGGAGAGTACAGCGATGACTGGAAAACGGACGGCGAAGGGAATGGCATCCGTGGGTGGAGCAGAGACGGGTTTGAGACCCCAGGAGAAGGCGCAAGAAGCGACTCGCTCGCGGGCGGTATGGCTAGCGAAGGCAGGGATATTGCGCTCTTCGACGCGCCCGACGTCGGTAATGCGGCGTACCGGACGGATGTAGCAGACGACATGCAAGGGTCAGAGGCAGAAGCCGAAGTATCAATTGAGGCCACTCCAGACGCCTCGAGCTTTATCCGCTGAGGAGCGCAGAGTTGGAGGGCATCCGCAGATGAAGACAGCGGGGTCGAAAGTGGGGAAAGGTCGTTTAGCGACACTGCCCGAGTGGCATGTACACGAGCATGTGCCTGCGCTTGTGCCTGTACCACCAGGTCCGGCAACTCGACTTGAGAACTACCAATGAGTCTGACGAGTGATAATCCAGGATCACTCTTCGGTCCCTCCGAATGTGCTTGCCAGCTGTGCTGGAGAGACGCGGCTGAGAGTCCCTGGGCTGAGTTGAAGTCGAAGCTCAAGTTCAAGGGGGCAGTGACGTGTGCGCTGGTAGGCGTACTCGAGCGGGAGCTAACAGGAAGGCCAGGACGCCACAGGAGACCTCTCTCGGGTTGTTGACGCTGGAACGTGGTGTCTGCAATGCATTCTGCTGGGAAACATGAATTACGCATGTGGGGGTGCGCGCGATGGGGTAATGGTAAGGCCAACATGAGCGCACGTCGTTCGAGTGACCGAATGCCCTGAACAGTCCGGAGGCACGCACCCGTAGCCCGTAGCCCATAGCTCGTAGCGACAAGGTGGTGCGATCGATAGAATTATGTACGCACCATTGATATCCTCATGGAGGTCCAGACGTGCAGGGCGCCCACGTCCCAGAGTAGCGTACGCCGCCACCCTCCTCCACCCGGAAGGCGTTGGTATTGTGTTCAGGTTGGGTATGTCTTCTGATGCGGCATCTTGGACGCTGGGCCGAACTCCGATAGTATCCTGCAGGACGGTTTCGACGCTGGGGAAAGTGGCGCTTGGCCTGAGTTCAAAAGAGTGGCCGCCCGATGTCGTCACAGAGGGTACACGAGGCCGCCGCACGCTGCCGGAAAGTCGGCGCGAGCACGCGGACATAGACATGATAGCGCAGTGAGGAGATCGCCTGAGAGAAGGAACAGCGTTCCAGGTTAGAAGTACTGCTAGAACACAGCCAAGCACGACCAGCGTGGGCACTCAGAATGTCGGAATTACAGAAGCTGCAAAGTATTGGCAGGAGCTACCGGAGCGTAGGCAATGCTATAGCCAGCGGCAGCAGGTAGTGGCTGGTGACTGGTGGGTGCGGCGCAAAGTCAGAAGAGAATGAGCTGATGTGGAGCACTTCGGAATAACCTGACACGTGTGGTGGCTGACACGGAAGCAATGTGCGTGGCCTGCCCATGGTGCAGCAACATGAGACTTACGATCGCGACTGGGCTAACATACATGAATGGCCAAAGTCAGCCTCATGCTAACATCGCGGGAGGGATGATCGTCCCTTTTGACCAAATGACTGACCGACAGTAGCACACTTGAATGAAGTGTAAGCCTTGGGGAAGTAGGGTAGACGAATACAGGTGAGCTCACCGTGAGAGGCCATACTGCATCCTTCTATCTGCTGTTCGATCGTTAAAGGTGTCTTCCGCTACTTCCATTATGTCCGAGATGAGAGCCTCAGGTTAACAGCTTGCGCATTCTACTACGGCTTCTGCCATGGCTCCGCCATATATACCTGCCTTCCCGGAGGCGCGATGTCGCACTAGCTGAAACCTAGGAATAAATGGTTCAACGTGTAGCACATGAACATCAAGCACTGACAGCGACACCACTTATTGTCCCACAACCCCTATACCAAAATAGCATCACCTGTATGTCCAGAACTCTATCGACAGCTACTAGCTAATTGATGGCTGTGGATTCTTGCCGCGATCGACACCCAGTGCGCAACAACCTGTGAAGTGCAAGTATGAGTAGCAGGGAGGCCTTGCCCTACGTAACAATCCTGGAAACATGCGAATATGGAACCCCTGATACAGCCCCAGACAGGGACCCAGTGTTTGGAAGACCACCTGAACGAATTGGCAGACAACAGGCACCGCGGGCAGAACACGAGAGTCGAAGCCTTGAGGATATGTTGACGAGACTTCTGCGCAACGCAACATAGCAGTCCATTGAAAACAAAGAAAAATACACAGACCAGTGCGAACTGCTACCGACGCGCTGCGTGGCATAACGATTCCAAATGTATATCCCGGCTCTAACCATAGCCCTTTGCCTGTCGTGAAGATAAGCATGAAGGTCGATGAAGAGTATGTCGTCCAGATATCACAGTCGGTCGTCGACGATAGGATCAGTGCGAGATTGGCCAACGCACACATGGTGACCGCTCCAGATGAGAAACATCCTAGACGATCGTTTTCGCCTTGACAAAGCGCAGTGATCATCTCCGGCGAGAGGAGCAAGAGGGGCAACCCACAGCAACTACGCACCAAACGGCTCCGCTGCCGAGCGACGCAGTAAACATGGAGCACACGTACTCATGACCCTCTGCGGCGACTTCCGCCGTTGCCGATCCCACAGACTGGCGACGCCCGTTCAGTGACAGTACCCCGCATTGACCATACTGAGCCACCACGTCCCTGGAGACCGTTGATGAACAAGCTCGTGGTCGAAAAGAGCAAGGACTGAACAGTCGAGCGGTGACCCATATCTGATGCCAGAACGGGGTGATCGCCCCTTCAAGCGCCCTTGTCCGTCCTCGAAAGGCCCTAAGTATACACTCAGCCCGGCGATCTATCCCGGGCCTCGAACAGAGGCCGGTGCGTTACCTGTTATCGCTCACCCGTTCCTTACCTCATTTCTGTCGCACAAGCGCTTGGAGAATAGAACAGTACTTACGTTCCGGTACGCGATAGGGACGCCGATGGCGCAATTTCGCCATGGCTGCTAACGATACCGGTGTGCGAACGCCGCATTGGTAGGGTCGTCGTGTGCAAGAGAAGCGTCAGAAGCCCCGATACAAGTCTGCAGCTCGGATGAAGGGCGGACGGAATGCGATCAGGAGGGGAAAGGGTTTTGGTACTACGTGGAGGGACATGCATATCACAGGCACCAGGCATCGCCAAGCAGTGCACAATGCAGAAGCAGAGAGATAAATTCAAATAGAGTATGTAGTGCTGGGCAACCCGCCGTCTGGGAAAGCTTCGGATCTTTGAGTGCTCTATAGCTAGCTTGAACGCTGAGACTGGGGTGCAAACCTTTGATCTCGCGTCACGTATGTTATCTCTCATTCCATTCAGTGCTCGGACGTTGCGCACCGGTCGAGTGTTGCTTATACAGACGGTAGTACTGCGCAAGGGCTAGAACAGTGCACATACTCGTCGTCCCTGCATGCACGTGCGTTCGGGTCCACCACGACCAGTATTATTCCGTCATCAGCCCCCATTGTGCGAGAGACGTTCGACCGGAGCTCAGATTAGCTATTCGTAGAGAGATGCATCTGGCCGAGCGTACCGTTAGCGTGATATGCCATCAGGAGCAGTGGCGTCCACGTAGAATTCCACGTCAGGGCAACGATCTCCGAAAGACCGGACCGCTCACGGGATCAACCAACATACATACAAGCTATGTGCACTGACATCGAGATTTAGTGTGCCGACAGAAGTACATACCGCCGCAACCTGTATGCGTCAGCTGAGGGAGGGCATCTGGTCTCTGATTCATGGCTCAAGTCTGCGACGTTTGCGCATACAACAAGGTGGACGACTTCTACGCCGGCGTAACTTCATGCGTCCGAGCACGAGGCAAGTGGTCATGGGAAACAGTGCATCGCCGCGAGCCAGGATCGCGAAAGTGGCGGAACTCAAAGACGACCGAAGCCCCTTCGTCCGATTTCCAGCGACACAGAATCGCAGGAGGGCGCCGCCTCGAGGCAGGCCCTGTGCGTACGCTGGGCATCGCCGAAGCATGGGCACGAGGTCTTGGAAGGCGAACGGGGAATGAATGGCGTAGCGTTCGGAGGCATTCTGAAGGTCAAGCGAAGTGAACCTTGACTCTTGAAGCCTGAGCTTGTTGCCTCGAGGCTCACATAGTTTCCCAGGCTAAGGGGAGGGAACACGCTCACGGTGCAGTGGCGCGACCTCCTATCACGGGCGGGCTGCTGAGGGAGCTGTTGGCCATGTAGACGGATGTGAGACTCCTAGAAATGGCGCGTGGGCGATGTTGCTGCCACAACGTTTTGGAATGCCTGGTATAGCGATATCGTCCGAAATTGACACTTCGCGAGACCGGCCAAAGACATCCTGCCCTTGGTTGACGAACGGGGACAGCACTGCCTGCGAATGTAGTCGAAAACAGTGTGCCGAAATTGGGTTGATCGATATGTACAGCTCCACAACACGAGCATTCTTGTGACGTGACCCGGGTGCAACCTGCTAATCACGCGTTCATACTCGCATACAAGACGTACCTGGCCAAATCCCTGATAAGAGTTGCCATCACAGACCACCGAGTGATGCTGGAGCTGAGACGCTATGCATCGCGGAGATATCATAAAATCATGGATCTAGCATCGTCAGTAAGCGTATTCGATGCAGGAAGTCACACCGATCGACTCCTATTGCTGCCTGCTATCCTTGCTGTAATTAGACCGTGGCGCCGCCAACTAAAAAGGAAGTCCTTATACCTGATGACGGAGGTGTTGAGCATTTGGAATATAGCGTCGGGCGACGCCGTAGCTGACTACGGGGCGTGATGCATCACAGGAGCGAGAGATACTTAAGTATGGAGAAACAACAGTCAGGCGGGGCAGAACTGAACCCGAGCGAACGGTACACCGTGCCGCGCTGTCCATCTCCCGCCTCAGGGTACATATGTATGTTGCCTGGCCATATCGCGGAGACTATGCCAAGCGTGCGAGTCACGTGAAGCTGGGGTGTGATGTAACGTGCTTGACACAGACTTGTTCTCGCGAAAAAATGTAGACTATTGGACGCTGGTTACATTTCTCTCTGCGTGATTACATGTAAGCAACCCGTGCTTCGCATACTAGCACGTACCTATGCGGATGGGCTTTGTGGCGGCCGCCAACAAGGTACCGATCGCTCGTGCCGCGGCGAGGGAGTGAGCCGTTCAGAGAAGTGGTGTTTTGTTGGACAAGCCGTCGGCATGTTTATAAGGTTGGTCCAGATGTATGCTTGTTCATATTATCAATCGCGGTACGCGATGTGACGCGTACGATGACTTCAATTTCAGCACGAGCAAGTCTCGGCCACCCCCGCGCGCACTGCGAAGGCTTATTGGAACTGCAGAGATGAAGAACGCGTCACAAGATGGAATCATACGTACGTGCACCCACATCCCATATCTGACCTCCGTGCGACAACCACCGCCGAGGGTTCCGGAGCCACCACGGTGTAACGAATGGAGTCGGTGGCGTCGCGAGGGCACGATTGCCAAGCTATGCAGTCACTGAGACCGTGGTGGGAGAGTCGCATCGACCGTGAGGAGTACTCGACGCACTAGCGCGGGATTGTCGGTCAGCATAGGCGGGCGAGGGCTGGAGACGGGCGTGTTGGTGTCATCAGCTGGCCGCGCGGGTTGGAGGCCGCGGTATCGCGAGCGGGAGAAGTGTGGACGAAGTGGAGAGACGAGGAGCATCAGCTGCGCGCGAAGTGGGCCCGACCGTGGTCGTCGTGATCGGCAGCTGCGTAAAGCGGCCGGGTGCGAGTTCTGTGTGCTGTGTGGCCTGGTCGATGATGGTGAGTCGTCTGTCGTCACCGCAGAGCCCCGGTCGCAGGACAGCCCGACCGAGATGTGGCACATCATTCAACGGCACCGACTCCAGCTCGTCACGAATCGCGCCAGGAGCACCTTCGCAGGGAGATATATGAGGACGACAGCGGCAGGCATCGGGAACGTCGCTGAAGCGAACGGCGGCCAAGAGCAGAGGACGTCGCGGGCTGCCAACGCGCGCCCGGAACGCGCGCCGAAGAGGGACAGTGACGGAGCGCGACCTCGGTGACCAAGCTGCCTGCGCGAACCCGGACAAAGCGCCCCCGCCCAAACAGGCAAAGTGGGTGGCGTGATGGGGTAGACACAGCCCAACGCTACATCGAAAGGGGCGTGAAGGATCCGGAGATGCGGATAGGCCTGGACCTGCCCACAGTCCTGGGTCGCGACCGGATAGGCAATGGTGCTGATCATGGGGTGCGGCCGTGCGAGAGAGAAGCCACACCCAACGAAGACGGCGAACGGGCATGGGAGCGGGGTCCCTGCGGGAGCTGTCGCGCTTGCACTTGCGCTCGCCGTGCTGCCCTCCGGTGAGGACACAGGAGGCAGGCAGAACACAGGCTGGGCTCGTCGCGGCGGCAGATTGGCGGGACGAGGGGCGGGGACAAGCGGGAGGCGATAAGGAACGATCGGGGATCTGAGATTGCGTTATGAAATGGGCGAGACGGGCGGCTGCGGGGAGACGGAGGGGCCCAAAGACAACAGCGGCCTCTGGCGAGAGCAGAACAGATGCCTGCGCTGCTTCGCTAGAAGCTCCTTCCAAAGCCAGTCGCTCGGGGCGCGAACTCGCATCAAACAAACCCAACCCCTCCCTCGTCGCTACTCTATCTCCTCTCAACTCTATTTCTCCTCCTCTCCCCTCCTCTCCCTCCTCTCGACCTCCCCACCGCCATGCACACCCCGCACGATGATCCCGCCACCGTCCATGGCCTCGCTTACCCCGCGTCCTTCCTCCAATCCCTCCCCGTCCTCCGCCACCGCCAGGACCCTCATCCGCCCATTCGCGCACTCACCGCCGCCCAGTTCTCCGAGCTCCATTATTCGCACCTCACCACTCACGCACCCGATCATGTTCTCTTTCCCTTCCTACACGGCCTTGAAGGCGACAACGAGCAACAGAATGCCTTCTTCGCCTCCTCGCGAGACAAGGGTGACGTCCCGTCTTTCCGCGGGCTTGTCTGGGTCGCGTGCGACGAAGACGACGAGGAGATGTGCGATGCCGAGGACCTCGACGACGATGACGACGACTACTCGACCAGCTCCTCGCTGGACTCGTTCGAGCCTGCCGATCTCGAGGACGATGTTGCCATGGAGCTCGACCCGACGGTCGAGGGCCCCCTGATGAGCGGCGTCCCACCACCTGATCCTATGAAGAAGGTCTCGGTCACGTCCCCTCTTCCCCGCCTCAGCGCGAGCGCGAACTCGACACACCCGCCGCCACCGCCACTCGTCCACACGAAGCCATCCTTCTTGACCTCGAGTTTCCGCGTGCGGGAACTCTTGCGCACGCGGCCGAGTGAGCAAGGCACTCCGGAGAACGTCTTTGTCGAGCCTCGCATACCAGACGGGATCAGCTTGCGGAACTTTGGGATCCAAGTGGTGAGTGTCGGCTTGTTCCTTTCCTTGTGGCGTCGGCGGATGTGGAGGACGCTGCGGATTCGGCAGTCGAGATGAGGAAGCGGGCGACATGCGTTGCCCTTAATTGTCGGCTGTGTCATCGCGCACGCTTCGAGGAAGGGAAGCTGCGGGAGTTGCGAGGCCTTCACAGAAACGTGGTGAAGGGCGCTTCGAGACGCTACGAGACCCCACCCGGACGCGAAGAGGGCTTGCAGATCGCCCCCGTCTGGCATCTGCGCTCTTACGGTATGTGCCACTGCCGCGGTGTGCCTCCGCCGCCGCACCCCCGGACCTCATATTCCTGCCGCGTGTGAACGCTTCCATCGCTCGACGTAGAGTTTTGCTCTCCGTATCCATGCTCATACGTTGTTACAGCCAATATATGCTACTATCTCCGACCTTGTTGTCTACTCTCCCCGCGGCCATACGCGACACGCGATAGCCGCCGCGGAGAAGTTCAAGCAGGCAGTAGAGATCAAGCACCAGGAGCGCCGCGCTCGCGCGCCGAACCCTGATGCGCTCGTCGAGTACAATGTCTTTGTACTCGACGCTTCTCCAGCCGAAATGGCTGAGAAGCTCCCCCACCTTGTCGCCCGCACAGACGAGGCCTCTGGCGCGCACACGGATAGCACCGATGCGCATGCCCAAAGGGAACCCTCCGACGACCTTGTCCTCCGCCTCCGTGCAAACACGGTCGATTTCGCCCAGCGCGAAAGGGAGGAGATGCGTGACCTCACTCAGGCGTCCGAGATCGTTTCCGTCGTCGGGTCCTCGTCGAGCGCAGACCCCGAATCTCTCGCGGGTTCTAACCCCTCGTCTCATTGGGAGCCCTCCGTCGGCCAGATTTTCCTTGGCAACTCGAACGACGTCCCTCTTACCCCTGATCGTCGAATCCGCATGCGTACTATGCGTGGTGACGATGATGACGACGACGACGCTTATGACTGGCGGACCAACGACCCCACTCTGGGATATGGGTATGATCTCTGCATTGAGTGCCACGACTACGCCCCGTTCCCTACCTCCGCTCACCTTCGCGCTGCCGAGGAGCATATCCGCCTCCTCGAGAAGCGCTGGATCGAACGATGTGTCGCAGACATGGAGGGTCTCGACTCCAAAGACCCCGTTCAACCGCGTCCACCGCCGAACGCATCTCACGTCATACACTTGCCTTTCCCGAGTTCGCCCGCCTCTTCCGTTGTCACCGTCAACACGCTCCTACCCTTCGTTCAGTTCTTGGAGAGACTCATCCAGCCCGTTGATGGTTCCCTTACCTACGAGGCTGCGCATGAGCAGCTGTCTCCTCCACGAACGCAGAATGGCTTCGACTCACCAAACAGGCACGACGCTGCTAGTTCGGGCTTCACGCCCAGCTCTCTGCCACCTCCGAGCTCCTTCCCTACTTCCTTCTTCCCCTCTTCGCCGCCAACGCCTCACACTGCATATACGCGCGTCCGATCTACCTCCGCCACTTACCTGCCGAATTCGTCACCATCGACGCCCATTTCCATGAGCCCCACGTCAGCGATTCCTGTCCCTCTTCGGACGCGCCCGCTGAAGATCTTGATCTACTCTGCCGATGGCTACACCGAATCTTCCGTCCTTGCGCTGTCCATTCTGATGGCCCTTCATGGAATCTCCCTCCCCGAGGCATATCTCACCCTCCAGGTCGAGAAACGCCGGAGCTTCTTTGTGTACCAGAGCGATCTGGGCGTGCTCCGCCGTGTCGAGGCGAGGCTCGAGAAGGATCGCGCCGCTCAATCGCAGTCTCAAGCACCTAGACACCCCTCTCCCGGTCCTGCAGGTCCAGGGCATGACGATGATGGCAACTGGAGCCGTTCTCTCGGACATGCGGCTGCGAGGTCGGTACAGTTCGCCAATCCTGTGGTGAAGGACCCTGCGGATATTGCCACGGGCGTGAGCGCACCCAGCGTGGTCGCGCACCCTCTCCGCTCGCGCTCGGAGTCTGAAGCGGACGTTACCGCGCCAGCTCTCACACCAGGACGGCCTCGCTCGAAGACTATGCCTCCGCAGCGGATACCGCCGTGGCGGGACCACCAGGTTTGGTTCAACGACCCCAGGTTCGACGGAAGCTTCCCCAGCCGGGTGCTGCCGTTCTTGTACCTTGGCAACTTGTGAGTTATTCTTTGCAACGGATGACGACGTTGCAACCGTATGCTTATCGCTGCGCGGCTTGGCAGGAACCACGCCTCGAACGCGTTCATGCTGCACGCACTCGGGATCACGCACGTCGTGTCCGTGGGCGAGTGCGCGCTCGTCCCTCCCCCGCATATGGACACCCCACACGCTGGGCCGAACACTGCGGCGTGTGCGATGCCCAACCCGAACGCGCACTTCATCCCGGGCAAGGGTCCCGGGGGCCAGGGTTCGCTGTGGATCGAAGAGCGGGAGGGCAGGATCAAGGTCCTCGACATCAAGGGTGTATGTGACGACGGGATCGACACGCTCGAGCCGCAGCTGGAGCCCATCTGTGAGTGGATCGACAAGGCCCGTGAGGAGGGTGGGAAGGTGCTCGTGCATTGCCGCGTTGGAGTGTCGCGCAGCGCGACCGTTACTGTAAGTGCCCGCCTCATTCGTGCTTTGTGCTTGTCAGGCTGACATGTATGCTGGGGGCAGATCGCGTACGTCATGAAGCACCTTGGGCTTTCGCTGGTGGATGCATACCTCATCGTGCGCTCGCGCCGGCTGTCTGTGCTCATCCAGCCGAACATGCGCCTGCTGTACAACCTCCTCGGGTGGGAGATCAAGCTCGCGCGGGAGCGCTCTGAGCGTGCACTCGCGAACGTCGACGATGAAAAGGAACGGGAGGAGAAACGGAAGATCAGGATGCAGTACGAGCTTGCGCGCGCGCTCAACTGGCCGTACCTTGCGAAGGAGGTGCACGCGCTCAACGAGAAGTACCTGCACTAACATCGCTGCGGTCGCGCGTGATCCTCTTCGCTGTCGTGCTGCATCTTGCTATCGGCGGTCGCTCTGCATGCTTTGACTGTCAACAGCTCCATTCCTGCCCCCTGCATATGCTTGACCGCACCCGTCGTCGCTCGTAGCATGCCGTTGGTGTCACCCCTGCTCGTCGATATCGTCTCTAATCTGTCTCCCGCCCTATCACCATCGGATGGTAAACCACGTTGTAGTTGTTCTATTTGTGTAGCATGTTCGCGCTGCCCTGTGCCCCTTACCAGCCACGTTTTAGTCTGTCCTCGTTCTCTGTGCATCGCGTTTCCACCATCCACGCACGTCTTCATGTAGTTTGTCTCGTTCTCTCTCTCTATCTCAACATCCCCTGCATATTTCCATGTACACATCTGCATCTCGTCTCGTCCCGGATCGCCCTTATCACCACCAGCTCTTCTCGTTTGTCTGCATAGTGTGTACGCTACGCTTGATATGTATATGACCACGGAGTAATTCACGGCTCTCTCTCTTTCGTGTCGTCTGGCTAACGTGGGTGTATGCGTACAAATCGTGAGCATACCGGCTTCATCAACGGTATACGAGGTGTATGGCTTTTGGCGTCTTCTAGCCACTGAGGTGAGGTGCTCGGGAGTAATGTCTCGGCGCGCTTGAATTTTCACCGTTTGTTGACCGCAACTGATTAATGTCCTAAAGGAACAGCGGTCTTTGCGCTGAGGCGCCGCTCCCGTTCTCCACCAATGAGGATTTGCACCCCGATTGCGAAGACGAGATCTCACATAGCTTCAGCAGATCCCCTAGGCATGCTTCCCACGGCCGCTGATTGGTGGAGAGCTCGTCTTCAGCCAATCAGAATGGCGAATCGTTGAAGTAGGATGAGCGCCGAAGTGCTGCTGAAACTCTTTGGTATCGGATCAACAATGTCCTCTTGTTCGGTCCCACAATGGTGTCTGTTTCCTTCGCTGCCTTCGTCTGTGTCCTGCACTCGGGTCGTGTCGCCAGGAAACCTACCTCGGGATTCCCTACGAGTGATAGTATAACTCGAAACTCTTGTCTCCTATACTCTACGTAGTGCCGACACGGGTACAGTTGGCTACCTGGGAGCCCCCAGTACAACGGCTAACCACGTGTCTAGAAGCACATGTCAGAGTCGGGACGCTTCGGTAACAATTTAGCAGGTCATTGTGAAGCTCTCATAAGGGGGCAGGCTCGACCAAATGGACCTCAGCACTGTGCGATCCATGGGCATCTCTCCCTCTAGCCATTCTGTGCTCGTGCCAACGCCCGCTAACCTGCATCTCAGATCGTACTGGCACCGACGTCACACCAGTCCGCTTTCCGTGGATCAGCATGCGCATCCAGTTCTCTTCTGTTATGACGTCCTCGTCGAGGTGTTCAACTCCCTCGATTTGAAGAACCGGCTGGACGTTGCGACGTGCGCGCGAAGTGTCCGGGTTTGTTAGGCATGGCTAGTCCCTGCTTCCCAGGCACTCTGGAGGTCGGACAACGGACAGTCGCTGCAAGACTTGTATCACATTCTCCGGGCTCACCATTCCGGGATCATTAGTGTCGAATTCTTGGCAGAGGCAAGTACTTATGTAGTGAAAGCGCTCGTTGACTGTCACTGCGACCGAACGTGACGTAGGTCGTACGACACAAGTTCCACAGGCGACAAGACGCTTGGGACCTATTCTTGCACTACGGATCACAAATCCGAGCGCTGAGGCGCAGCGACTACGACTGGCGGGACGATCCTGCTGTGGTCAGAAGGGCGGAAACGGAACTCATAAATTCGCTCATACGTCGCAACCATGGCCACACGTTCCTCCCTTCCTTGCGGTCAGCAGAATGGGATGAGTACCCGGAGACGCGGGGCGCCTTGTTCTCCCTCGTCCCTCCTTCTCTCAGCACTCTCGACCTCACCCTACACTCTAGCATGAGGCAAAAGGACATCGAGTCTTTCATGCTGCAACTATCCGGCGCAATCCACGGTATACACACCTTGCGCCTGACGACTGCGCAGAACGTCTCGGTTGTGGGCTTGGCGTATCCCCCACACCTTCGTCACCTATCCCTGGACCCCTACCGCATCTCGGTCGACCCGGCGGAGCTTCAAACACTCCTCTCTCACCTTCGACTCGAGAGCCTCTCCGTGCATATCTCAGAGTGCCACAGTTGGTCTGCCCCGGTACAATTGGGGAAGACGCTACGCAAGCTCCGCATCGAGGGTGGCTGTCTCGACTTGACCGCCTTCATATCCTATGCTTACGCGCCCAACCTCTGTGAGCTGGAGCTTTCTACCAAAGGCGCGATTGATCAGATGCTGTATGAACCAGCAGCGCATCGGCAGCTATCTGCCGCACTTGCGGGGAACTCTCGACTCGTGCGAACGCTGCGGTCGCTCACACTCGAATACTCCACACATTCGTCCCCGCTTCTCCTTGGCAAAACCGGACCCCCCGTGGTTTTGTTCTCCGACGTGCTCGGACCTCTTGTCCCCGGTCTCGCTTCCAGCCTGGAAACGCTTGCCGTGAAGTACTACCATGAAGCGGCGATATTGACCGATGACGAAGTCTTGTGTCTAGCGCAAGCGTGCCCGACGCTGAAGCACCTCACGCTGTCGCTGGGAGCGAGAGAAAGGGAATTGACTGTTCCCACGAAACTTCCGACCATTGCTGCACTACATCACATTGCACAGTGTTGTCCTCTCCTCACATCCCTTGACATTGAAATCGACGAAGACGAAACGAAGCCTGTCTCGCCGTCGTGGGTGGCTGACCACCCATTACGCGTGCTCCATCTCGCGGTTCGGTCCTTCACGAGTCGCGCATGCGACCGTCTAGATTTGGAACACCAGGTTTACAAGATATTTCCGGCACATTTCAGGGACCAGGATATTGCATTTTTCGTATCACTGAATAATGGACACATCAGCTCCTCTTGTACGTAGCTATGCCCCTGTGGGAAGGGGCGACGATTTCTAGGCAGCTGACAAGGAAGTGGAACTAAAGTCCATAATTTTCTGCTTCGGAGAAGTCATTCTGTTGTCGTCGTATATGCTCGTCCAATACTCTCGGTTCAGAGACGAAACTCTGCGCCCCCGAAGTATTTGCCTCACTCACACTCTTGCTTCTCCAGCTCGATACACGTGAGATGGGTGGAAGACAGTCACGGTTGTGTCTCGCCTCGAGGAGAGTGATTACCCTGCACCCAGAAGTCCCGTCATAAAATTGTCCACACAGAACCCATGGTATAGGACGGGTGGTTGCGGAAGCCGAGACAAGGTAAAGGACGCTGCAGGATGTGCTCACTAGTCGAGCCCGGCGAGAAGAACAAGGGATGTGATCCGCGAGACAGAAGATCTGCGATGTGCTTGGCGCTTTCGGTCATCTCCGTTCCGGTGTGGCATCGGCCCGTTAGGAGCGGTACCCGTTCCCGGTTCGCTTCACTGCGAACGTTTCAATCGTCTTGCTGGCATGGTTGGTCCATCAGGTAGGTCAGTCGTGTGTATTTGCGTCGCTCGGTGTGAACACTTCCTTGCCGCAGTTTTCGCCGGTCTCCCACCGCGACCCAGCGCATCCGTAACGTCAAGAGCCTTGAAGCAGTTAGACGAGAAGAAGCGCAAGAATGCTGCCCGGCGTGAGGCCTCCCGCCGCCAGCAGACCACGAGCCATCCAGGCTTGGACCAGATCTCCCCACCACCTAATGCTGTGTTTTTGCTAGGGGACGTAAACTCCCTCCCCCTACTAATCCCAGTGCATGTCGATACAGCTCCATTAAGCACGACAATAATCGCTCGCCCGCCCGTCCACCACATGCTGAGCGTGCCACCGGCTTTGAAGTCACCCAATCTGTCGGAAATAATAGGAGAACGCGCTCTGGAGGAGTTCCACGACAGTGACCATCCTATACGCACATGCCTCGAGGATGGGATCCCCACCTCCATGCATAAACGTGCACGGTTGAGCGAGGACATGGCCAAGGGTGGCGCGATTGACAACGAGATGCTCGACAACACGAGCAGCTCGACCGACCCGGGCAAACACCAAAAGTGAGTTCCGACGTCATCTTCCATATATAGTCCCTCCAGGCTTACAGCTTGTAGTTGCACGGGCATTCAAGTAGCGGCGTCGGCGTCAGAGCAGCCGCAGAGCGCAAGCCGCCGCCGCCGCCGTCGCGCGTGGAAGGACCTCACGCCGGAGCAACAGCTTAAACGAGTCATCGCGAGTAGAATCCGGAGGGCCCGCAAGTTGGCCTCTAGTGCCCTGACTGAAGAGAGGACGAGTGAGTTTGCTAGAGCCTTTCGCGGGGTGTCATCGCTGCAGCTCATAACATTGGCAGCCCCGACCATGGGGACCTCAACCATACCCGAGGAGCGGGATGATAGCCGACACGGGCGAGGAGCCGAGGAGGTGCTTTGTGAGAATTGCTCTTCACGCATCTGAGGAGGACGAGTACCATCTGAGCCTGTCACATTGCTTTGATAAATGGCATGGAGGAACAGTGTAATGGAAGCGCGAACATCAAGTTGACGGGTCCTGATAGCCCGGGGCTTCTCGACTTTTCAATACAGCACGAGTCGTGTCTGACATGCGAGCTCGTCGTCGCCCCAGATTTCTATATGCGATTTGGTATCCAAGGCACCCATCGGAAAGCGACAAAGTGTTTGAGCTGTACAAGGAGCTCGCATGTTCTCGGCTCCCTGACGCCTTCTCATCTTCCTAATGTCTTCGTAGGGCTGTACACCATCGCATTCCAAAGGATGCAAAAGGATAGCATACCGAAGCCCGGAGACGTAGTAACACTTAGGAATATGTCCAGAGTGAGTGTCGTGGGGCATAACACTTACGTCCATATCTACAATTTGGTCAGTGCCGAGCGGTATCTTAAGGGGATGCTCACTTACCAGTCTCAAGCCGATTAAGCGGTGATCGATGACGCCTAAAGGGCAATAGTGGAGCAAAGAGATTCTATGCGGGAGTCTCTGCCGCAGATTGGTCGACTCACCATTGCGGAGGTTGACAGGTATCAGACCACATAACACGATTGACGGCGTCCTGCGGGCGTACTCTGACCCCTGTACGGCTTACAGCGCTTGAAATGTCAGAATGGCGGTGTTGGTCAATGCGGACGAATCCAAGGACCGCCCCAAGAAGCATCAAGACACATTATCCAGTCTTCTAGACATCTGCATAGCTGTTGAACAGCTTAGGATACTGTAGAACATATAGGAAATGCTCCTGACAGGATGCAAGGGATGCAGTCAGTCAACTGACCATCGGGCATGCTACAACTCCGAGGCGCAGCGCTTCCTGGCGGGGCTTCTCGCCGGTTATGTCCACATAGCACAAGTTGCCCTGCGTCGTAGGATGGACAGCTGAGGGGCTTCGGCGTAGCGCAGACTTCTCCGTATGGTCCCCCATTGGAACTACAGCATAGATCCGGCGATGTAACGTACAAACATGGCTTGGAGACGCGATCACGCTGTCTCTTGAGGACGCGCAATCAGTTTCGTGCCGCTAACTTTGAATGCTTCAAGACGAGCAAGGCCCTCCGGGATTCCCGCCAACCCTCCTGGAAGAATCTCAACCTTGTTGGGCTGAATCCAAAAAGTCAGCGGACATGCCACAAGGCGTGAATGGCGATACAACCGTACCTTCACAATCCCCTGCTCCAGCCACTCAGTCAAACGCTTGTACAGCTCCTCGCCGCACGGCCGGCACTCCGGGTGCTGCACGTTCCCAAATACGTTCGCTATCTTCTTTCCGTCCGAGGACTTCTTGAGCTCAGAAGGGATCAGCTCCGGCAAGACGATGACGAGCGAGCCGCGGGGGGCGAGGGCCTCGTATGCGAGCGACTGGGTGTCGGCCAGGGAGATCGCATCGTACACGAACTCCAGCGGTTTCCCGCCCGTAAGCTTGGGAAGCTCTGCGAGGATCTGCGAGGCCGGGAGGTTGCGGTCGAGCACGGTCGTCGCACCGAGCGACTTGAGCAACTCGGTGTTGTGCGGGGAGGCGGTCGTGATGATCGGGGAAAAGCCTTGGTACTTCGCCATCTGGATGGCTGTATCCATAGATTTGAAAATCTGGATTCCGCATATCAACAGATAGGTGAAGACGAACCATATTGTCCGACAGACGAGGCACCTCCAATGATGAAGGCAGGCTTGCCTGCGTATTGGGTCAAGCCGCCCTCCTCCCAAGGAGGCGTCAGACGGATGCTCTTCTCCGTCCGAGGGTTGTGATCCCAAAGAGCGAGGACGACGGTCGCGAGACCTAACGGAATTGACGCAGCCTGATCAAAGGATATGCCCTCTGGAATCTAGCGACTGTGTCACATCCGGCTTCGTTCTTACTGCAACTACTATGGGGACATACCTTTGCTGTGACAGGCGCAGGGACGAGACAGTATTGCTGGAATGTCGCATATGGGTTCGAGAACCATCCCTGGAAGACGCTTTCATCCAGAAGTCGCGCATCCACCTCATCAGCACACCGCCCGAACGGCAGAGTGATGCACGCTCACATCTTATCGCCCTTCTGGAGCGTCGTGACCTCCGAGCCGACCTCCTCGACGATCCCGGCACCATCCGTGCCAGAGATAAACGGGAACTCGGGAATGAGGGCGGTGAAAGGTGAATCGACGAGTTTCCAGTCGATAGGGTTCAGTGCGGCGGCTAGCACTTTCACGAGCACGTCCTGCGGGCCGGGGCGTGGGATCGGTGCGTCGCCCACGTACCATTTCCCGGCGCGTGCGGGGAGGAGTAAGGCCTTCTGTGTAGCGAGGTGGGCCATGCTGTGATTGCGAGCTTGGAAGTTGTATTGAGGAAGGTGGGACCTGAATGTCGACTATGTGTAAACCCGAGCCGTAGTCATATATCGACTGAGATGCAATCGCATGGGATTTGGGCGTAGTATTTTTGTGATCTGTTTGTACCGATACTCAGTGTGGGAGCCGACGGGTGGTGCATTAGTAAATGTTTGTCAGCAGACGGAGTCCCGGTGGCACCCATAGTGATCGACCTTCTCAAGTAGCCTTCCGAGGTCCAACTGACAAGCACGGTAGCAATAGAAAACTGTGACGATTTAAGAAAGTGTGAGCAAAACCGTGAGTTGGGGTGGTGGGACGATCTCCTGGAAGAAATCAAGAGCTATGAAGGAAGGCAAGAAGAGGGCATAGTGTAATTGCATATGCTGAATCACGTATAGCGACGAGGTACCGGATGAGCCAAGATCATCACATGTTTGTCCTCAAAGCCCCGGACACAAAGCGCTGCGAACCTGGAGACCTCAGAACCACAAATGAGTCGACTGTGTCATCTTCCGCAAGTAGCACATGGCTGGTCATCCGGGATCAAAGATAATCCATGAACGAGCGAGACTCTGTACAAGTATGTGGGAGGAAGCTCAGCTTGGGACAAGTCAGAAGAAGGGGCCCTACTATGTAGTAGGAGAACACAGACGGCACTAAGATGAGATCGTCATTGCTTAAACATTATATATACATGTAAGGTTAGCGTAGCGTTGGCAAGATGGCCGAGCGGTCCAAGGCGTGTGACTCAAGCGAAAGCTTGCCTGCTTTGGCGGGTTTCTCATCTGGGTATCCAGGCGCGGGTTCAAATCCCGCTCTTGTCACTCTTTTTTTCTTTTATTTCCTCTTTCCGCGCGCGGATCTCGGAAGGTCGGAACGAGGCTGGAGAGAGGGCCGGACCGCCTGGACGTCATCCGGGTTTGCCGAGGACCGTCTGCCCGCATGGAACAGCGATCATCCTCAGTGATCTCCTTCGACGACCAGAACTACTTATGAGCACCATCGATCGGTCCCAGCCTAGTTCACAGTCCCACTTTGTCTTTACACCTCCCTAACTTTGTCTGCAGTCATGGCCGCACAGCTGCCCATCCCAGTGTTTACGTCGCTAGATCAGGCCTTTCCTGACCTCCAGACGGCTGCGGTACAAGGGTACGTATCTCGTGCGATCACCATCCTTGTGAAGCTGACAAGATGCGCCAGTGTGCGCTACAAGGAAGTCGTAGAAGAGTACGAGAAGCGTTTCGGGCACAAGCCTACGTACATCGCGCGCGCTCCCGGAAGAGTTAAGTATGTCCCTCCCACGAGAACGCTACTGAGCGACTGAGTAATATACATCCCTGCTTGCCCTCAGCCTCATTGGGGAGCACATCGACTATGTCCTCTTCGGAGCGTTCCCCGCTGCCATCGAACGCGATATTCTCATCGCATGTGGACCCTCCCTGCCTTCCTCTACGTCTGGTGCGGCGGAGACCCTGACTGTTGGTGGTGTACGGGCAGAAAACCTCAACCCCAAGTATGCCCCGCAGACCTTTGCTCCCATGCTCAAGACAGCCGGACCATCCGCACAGGAAGAGGCGGATGCGGCGAGCACGGTTCATGCTGAATCGGCTTGGCACTTGGACATCAATACGCGCGAGCTGCGATGGGAGAGTTATATCAAGGCTGGATACTACGTGAGTCGAATAATATCAACCTACTCTGGTACAGCCATGGCTGAATTTCGCTGCGTAGGGTGTCCTCAGTCGCTTCTTCCCTGCCGCGCTTGCTGAAACGGACAAGCAAGCTCATCCTGTCCCCGTCGATCTCCTCTTCACTGGTTCCGTTCCTTCAGGATCCGGTCTCTCCTCTAGGTAAGACTCACGTTCGCGATTTCAGCGCCGTTCTTGTTGGAACCTGTTGCTTTCCTAGTGCGGCGATGGTCGTAGCGTCTACGCTTGCCTTCCTGACCGTGAATAACAAGCTCGATGGTGTCACGAAAGGTTCGCTCGTCGAGATGGCCATGGAGAACGAGAAACGCGTAGGTGTTAACAGTGGAGGGTGAGTGTTTGTCCATCATCATTCTGACGGGCGTACTCATTCCTGAATGCGCGTTATCGATAGGCTTGACCAAGCCGCATCTGTCATCTGCACGCCCCACTCCGCGCTCTATGTCACATTCTACCCTAAGCTAGACGCAGAACTCATTCCGCTCCCTACTCCCCGCACGAGCCCCCGCGCGGTCTTCGTCTGCGCAAACTCCCTCGTCGTTAGTGACAAGGTCGTCAGTACGTCTCAGTTCACCTCACGTCTCCCTCCCACGTCTCCCTCTGACTAACGTCCGCGCCCCACTCAGGCGCAAAGTGGCACTACAACTTGCGCGTCGTCGAAACCCTCGTCGGCGCGCGCGTCCTCGCGAACAAGCTCGGTATCACGCTCGGGCCCAACGAGCGCCCGACGTTCCGCGTCATCCTCTCGCGCTGGCTCGGCGCCCCAGAGTCCGGGCTCGACGCGGACGGCCTCAAGGTGGGCATTGAGCGCTTCCTGCCCGAGGTCGAGAAGCTGCGCCCGCCGCGCGAGGGCCGCCCTGCGGGCGAGGAGGGTGTGACGCTGGACGAGATGGTGGAGCTGAGCGGCTTGAGCAAGGAGCAGTTCCACAAGGTGTACTTGTCGTGGGTCGAAGGTGCGCCCCTCGCGTCCAGTTCACGCTTCCGACCGTGAGCTGACCGCGATGTTGCGCGCAGTCGAGACGGAGTACTTCCAGCTGTACAAACGCGCGCGGCACGTCTTCACAGAGGCGCTGCGCGTGATCGAGTTCCGCGAGGTGTGCCTGCGCGCGAACGCCGCGTCGGGCGAGCTCCCCGAGGACACGCTCGTCAAGCTCGGGGAGCTCATGGACCAGTCGCACGAGTCGTGCTCGACGCTGTGCGAGAGCTCGTGCCCGGAAGTGGACGCGCTCTGCCGGCTCGCGAAGAGCGCGGGGGCGTTTGGGAGCCGTATCACGGGCGCGGGATGGGGCGGGTGCACGGTCTCGCTCGTTGCAGAGGATAAGGTGGGGGAGTTCATCCAGAAGGTCAAGGAGGGGTACGAGCCGTATAGGGCGTTGGAGGGCGAGAAGCTGAGGGAGGCGATCTTCGCGACGAAGCCGAGTGCGGGCGCGTTTGGTGAGCTGTTTGTTGCATTGCTCCTCGATATGTGCTCATGCTGGGGTCAATGATCGCTGACTGGCCTGCCCGATAGTGCTAAAGTTGGAGGAATAGACGATAATTGTGGAGTCAGAAGAACGGCGCGTGTACGACTTGAAGGGAAATATTGCTCATGTATTTGCCAAGCAGTATGCTACGGAGTGCGGACCTGTTATCGCGTTTATTCTTAAGCAATGTTCTCGCTGCACTCGCCGAATCAGGGAACGACGACTGGGAATATTCCGTGCCCCTCGGGAAAAAGAACATCTGCATTTGCACACAACAATATCACAAGGACCGACAAGGGATGTACTTACAGCACGCCCGTCGTCGATCGCCATCAGTTCGTTCACTCTTCGCCACGCAAATAAGACACAGGTGTGAACAGCCAGTTTGAGCTTCTTGATCATCTTGACCACGAACCCCGATCGACTGTCCTCCAGACTAGTCTCGCGGATCCTCGGAATTAGGCCCGGGGATACAGCGGTGGAGGGAACCGCAGCTACGAACATAGGCATGGCTAAGGTCATAAGGTGCACGACTTAGACACCGGCGAGTATCTCAGAATACTTTCGACCTCATCTCCGCATGTCGGCCATCCGACCGCCATGTCCATGTCGATATTGAGCTTTTTTTGCTTCCGCGTTAGGATCGCTTCAGGCTTTCAACAGCTGGGATACACGACGAATATCTAGATTAATTGGATAGATATAGGGTTCACTCGAAAGATAATATCTTATGAGTTCTCAAAAGAAGAAGCGACTTCAGAACAGATGACATGGCCCGAATGGGACTCGGACCGAGCTCAGCTGTTCACGCTGTGTAGGCGAAGGAGGCGTTGTGGAAGTCTGCGATGGTGGTGAGTGATGTTCAACACTCTTGCAATACCTGAATGACGCAATGCGGAGGCGTGAGAGTCCCCTTGCATGTCCTGAATGTCATGGCCAGTCAGCAATATCGCTTCGTGGCGATTGCGAATCCATTGCAGGGAACCCGAAAGACTAGATATCGTATTCAATATTGCAAGAATATCGTACATGATACTGATGCAGCCCTGTGTCGTCATCACATCACCTACATCGTCAGTTGATTACTTTGAGCCCTCGTTTGACATATACAACTAGGATGGCCCAGTAGTAGCCCACGAGACGAACGCGGGGTTCAGCGTCTCGTACATCCCCGAGCCCTGCAGGCAGGAGTAGATGTTACCAAGGTTATCACCGCATACGATGAAGAATTCGGACAGCCCAGCGGTGGGGCCAGGGGTGGTGAAATAATAGCACGTCTGCTTCGCGCCGTTCCAGTAGCTCCCGAGCTCGTTAGTCGAGCAGTCCACTTGGAAGTCTGGTCCTATTGATCCGCTTCCCCAACCGTAAACCCCAGAACATCCTGTGACGGATATGAAGGGGATATCGGCAGGTGCGCGCAGCCCGAAGAACGCGTCGGAACCTGCGTCGACAAGAGTAGCGCCGCCGAGAGTGCCGTCGGTATTGGTGGACACGTAGGTGTCTCCGAGCTTGAGGAAACCGTTCGAGCCTGCACCAAAACAGGCGGCAGCGGGAATGCCAGGCGGGGGACCTGCGTTGTAATTCGGGTTCTTCGCTGGATCGATGTTGGGTGGGATCGGCGTCTGGGGGTTGATAACGTTCTGCGTGTTTGTCAGAGCGCTGCTGATGGATGAACTCGCGGACGTCAACTATTTAGCGAACCTAGTCAGCGAGGCGGACATCGTGTAGCCAGTAGAAGATATAACGTACATGATTGACAACCTGAGACACGGAGTCAGGAAGTGTTCCCAGAGACAGGATAGAGGAGATGGAGTCCTGAGCTGCCTCGACTGCAGCTGCCGCAGCCGCAACTGCAGCAGCAAATGCACTATCGCTGGTGGACGTCGTCTACGTTGTCTAGTCGTGAGATACGACATATAATACACGGGGGGCTGAAGACTCACGAGAGACGCAGCGGCAGGAGGAAGCGCTGCTGCTGCAGCAACCGCAGCCGCAGCCGCCGTCGCAGCAGGTCCGGACGGAGGTGTGGCAGAAAGTATGGCGGACGCGGAAGATATGGCCGTCTGTGCAGCCGCAATGTCATCGCCTGAGTCCGCAACGGCGGCTGCGGTGGAAGTTGGTGTTTGCGTCGTAGGGTAAAGTTTGAAAGTCGGAATAATGAACACGGTGTTTACTAACAAGTTAATAACATGTTAATTAACGGTTCAAAAGTCCAGGGGTCTATCAGCCCGGTTATATATTGTTCAAAAGTCCGGCCGGAGCCGGCGAGTGTTTGAGCCGTAACAACTGATAAGGGTATGCTACCAAACATCTCCGCGAAGCCCTAGTTTGAGATTGTGCTGCTAAGCGACAACAATGACATCATGTTCAACCCGATATGGACATTGGCATTGATCTAAGGTTGCTGTCGCCATCAGGGTGACTTTGTTCAACCGCTGACTGATGGCCTGTCACGGTATTGGACTTGACTCCTCAACTCTGTCGCTACCCTGCTAGAATGCCCCCCCTAGGCTCTACCATATCTGAACGTCTTGATGAACTGGGCCGCGTACTTGAGAACTTG